TTTATCTCTTTATTTGTTGAATCACCCTGTATGCTTTTCGAATTACTCCGATCTCGATCGCCTTCCCTCATTCTATTTCTCAGTATCAAAGTATTTTCGTCATTTTCTTCTTCCTCGTCTTCATCTTCATCTTCATCTTCCTCGTCTTTTTCTAGCTGTGTCTTCAAGTTTTCCAAATTCATAAGATTACCAATAATATCGATAATGAGGTTACTTTTATCGGTATTGTAATCTAAACCCAAAATATTTGCTATCAAAGTTAAATCGCTGATAGAAAAATTATCATTAATGCATTTTAATTTGTGTTCATATTCAACAGATTTCAAATCAAAATCAAAACCGGAAAAAGCTCGTAGTCTTTTCCTGTTATTTCTATCACCCTCAATATCGAAAACAAGTTTATGGAAAGTTTTTATCACTTTGACTGGAGCAACGTTTATGCCGCTCAAAATATTGTCAATGTCACCAAGTGTCACCATTTTCGTAAAAATATCTGATATGGAAATTCGCAAAAAGTCTGTAATTTCAGAACAACAGTGTTTAAAACAAAACGGAATAGAGTTCGTTAGATACCGAAATAGTTTATACAGTGATATACTTCACACTGAAAGTAGTATAGTTCCATAAAATGTCCACTCAAAATGTCTGTTTCAAACTCAAACGATGATTTGAATCATCTAGTTCAGAAATAACAACTATACTTCTGAATGTCTTTCAAATAGCTTAAGCAATGGTCTTTTCAAATCTGCTAAAATGCAAAGCGAAATGCTCACCTCGTATCTTCCTTATGTTACCTGATATTTAATAGTATATGTTGGATGTCTGTTACACCAAAATCATCTTCACTTGGTCTATAGTTCAGATCAGCCCGAAAATGTTACGAATAGTTCTTGAATAACACGCACTTCTACCGAATGATGAAATAATTCTCGTTCTTGACCCCTCTTTCGTCTTTACCGTCTTCAATTCCGTCTCTACCGTCTTCAATTCCGTCTCTTTTGTATTTCCCTCCTTACGTCTTGGTATTCGATTTTTTCGTCGTCTTTTTGTTATTTCGTCTTCTCGTCTTCGTGTGTTATCGTTTTCTCGTCTTCTTATCCAATAGTCTTCCCGTCTTCTTTGATTCTTTTCGTCTTCACGTCTTCGAATTATCCCGTCGTCAAATTGTAAAATTTTTGTCGTCTTTTTTCACTTCACTGTCACTCTGACAGGCTTGAACTTATTCGCTCCAAAAAAATGCCAATCCCGGTTGAGCCCCCAAATTTATAGGATTGAGGCAACTTTACGGAACGAATAGGTATATTTCAACATAAATACTGCTAAAATACAACAAATAACACACATATCTTCTTGACACGTCGTACTCTCGTCTTTCTACTATCACACGTCATACATTACTTCTTTCATTCATCTCATTTATATACAGGATGCTATCCTACAGATATAGGGGGCTTGGTGGGGATGGTGGTGCCAGACATTACAATATCGGGCATACTGAGTTCCGCCTTCCTAGAGAAAATACAGGCTTGAGTTTTGGTGGCGTTGAATTCAACTAGGTTGTTGGTTCCCCATGCTTTGATTTCAGCAAGGTCTTCATTGACAGCATTGACCTGTCTGCGCCATGAGTTCTTATTTTCCTGGGAAGAAATGGGAATTCTGGAATAGAACGCAGTATGGAGGGTACTATCATCTGCAAAGCTGTGGATGGGGCAAGTTGTTACTCCCAACACATCATTGATATGAAGAAGGAATAATGTTGGTGCCAAAATTGATCCTTGTGGAACGCCGGAATTGAAATATAATAATGTGGTTAGTGGCGTACTTAAAAAAAAGTTGAATCAATTTTCATCGAAGAGAATGCGAAATACCGATCTCTCTGTATATTAAGTTGGTGTGACATGTTTTTCATGCATAGTCATAATAGTTAGTGGCTCAACGAAATCAAGAGTGGTATACACATCTCAAGGATTTTGAAGAAAATTTGGAAATAAAATTTCAATCGGCCTATTTTGTTTTTCACTTCACCCTGCAGAATTTATGGTACCTTGTTCTGGAACACCTTTTATAAGAATCATTAGTGACCTACATGTAGTACTGGTACTTGCAGAATCCTCCCTTTGAAATCTTTGTACACCGATTTGGTAACTGGTAGAGTGGGGTGGTTGAAAATACCCTTACCATGTACCCACCAATTCACCATATCCAAGTGGTGTTCTCTGTGTGATGTTGCTTCACTATAGTAGAGTCTGTATCTGAAAACCTAGCGTTGCATTCTAGCTAACCTGGTGAGTACTAGGTATACCTACTGGTATTGTTATAAGTTCGTAATTAGGTATTATAGCACTGGACTTACGTGTCATTTCTTGGATTTGTGATTGCATATACCTTCATGGAATAGTTGATATTCCTCATGAAGTATCTTTTGAATGGGTATTTTCCCCAATGGAATATGTATATTGCATTTCTGCGGATTAGATTTCTATCGTAAATCTACGAAAAGTAGGTATGTCACAGTTCATTTTACTAATTCTGTTGATTACCTCTAATAATATATGTTCGTACAGTCGATGTTCACCAAAAAATATGTTGTTAACTTCATAAAAGTTTTCAGTGTTGAAGGATAAATAATCAAAATACTGTAAAAGTGTAAAAAGTAATTGCGATTATTAGTATTGGTATAGAATTTTACTAAGTGTATTGACCTTCTCTTGCATATCGGTTGTTGATAAATTGAAAATTACTGTGGAAATGCTGCCATTCTGCAACTGTTTTAGTAATACCTCAACGAATTCGGTTTCTGAAAACATATTCCAACTGTCGTGAATGCATTCATTCAGATTATTCATAGCAAAAGACCCAGTTTCATGGCATACCAACCTGTATGGTTGTCGAAACAAATAGCTATTCTGTCAAATGGAAAGCCTTTTATCATATCGAAAACTGCTGTGGATAGGTCTCCCCCAAATTTTTCTCTCATCTCATTCATATCGTCTATTGAAGAAAAAATAAATGTTAAGAATACAGAAATAATCACCTTCTTTATATTATTTCTTCAGTATCTGTGAAGTGTTTGATTGTACTTACATGGTTTGATTGAAACGCGGTTTTTCATAGCTATAGTTTTGTCATAACTAAGAATCATTAAGGCCAGTATTTTCCGAAAAAAGATCGATTTCCAATTCCTCATTTTCAACTTATGCGATGGAATAATGAAACCGAATGAAAGTGCCTATCGTGATTGCTTTAATATAGGTTGATTTGGCATTCGTTAGTTTGTATGACACTAAATCATTAAATTTTCATTACCTTTCACTGGTTCTCAGCTTCTAATATCATTTTCCTATGATGAATGAAATAATTGCGTGCCAGAAAAGAAATCTACGAAGACAATAATTACAAGTAAGTTTGTATATTGACTGACTACCTAATTAAATTTTGAAATCACCATATTTCTGATGGAAGCTTTTCAAGCTGTAGTACTTCTAGAATATTCGATGTATCAAAATGAAATTTAATATGGGTATACGATATGTGAAGAGGAAAGTTTTCGCATATTTTTCACTTTCTAGGCACTTCCGGTTTCAGCGGAAATGACTCGGTGGCCATGATCAGTCGTGAACTTATCTAAGAACCTCAAGTGATGTAAGAAAATTATGATCGCGCAGTTTAAGTGAATAGTATAATAGATAGGAGAAAGACAAGTTGACAAAATCACATTCCCATGTATAACTGTTATTTTTCAAATGGCAAACATGTTTTGACAGGCACTTTCCGAAGAAAAGATTTTTTGACGAATCTCACGATACTAATTTATTTGCGATTTGATTGAAAATAAGAACATGCATTTAATATAACTGGGGGAATTCGTGAGTGTGGCATCAATAACCAGGCGAATGGCGCGTCACCGAATGGAATCTATTAAGAGCATCAGCATATGTGTGGGTGTTGAACCCCATATATGTGGGAATAGTATTCTCAATTTAGCCGTATTTGTGATTTGTTGATCATGAGAAGCAGTTGAGATGTAAAGTAGAATGAAAATCCGAGTTTTTGGGCAGTATATTTCGCGATGGATTTGACTATCTGAAAATCTCATCATTTATGAAAATTTTCACATTTTCTATGGATTTCCATCAAGTAATGTCTGAGTCAATACAGAAATAGATAATCTGGTGGGTATGAAACTTTATATCTTATCCTGTACAAAATAACCTGTCTAATATATTAATATTATATGAACACGTGTAGTAATTGCTCAGCATTGAAGAATATGGGACAAAAATATAAGTAGATATTCATTGCATAAGAAAGCAAATTATAGGATGCAGTATCTTTGCCTATTGGTCATTTAAATATATTATTTCAATGCATCTTCGTTATTTTTTCTCTCATAAAAAGAGTGATCATCATAGTGTGAGTTGTTTGGTTCACATAGTTGAATTGTAGTTTTTTTAAAGATATTATCCTTTCATTCATCATTTACTTTCATCTCAAACTTATTTGTATAATTCGGAGTTCCATTGTCAGATATCTTCAACTTATGAAAGTTTTTCTCAATAATTGTCGCATTAATACTTGATCTAAGTAGTAAAACTTTGATAATCCTTCAGGTCAAAGAAAGTGGCCTAAGATATGCCTATAGTTAATTCAAACAGTTAACTAAATTGAATCAATTATTCATCGAACTTTTTGTTTTTTGTAACACCTCCCGTTTTGTCATCTGATTTAATAACCATTCCGAAACAAATACTTTTTTTCCTACACAACTAAGAAAAGAAACAAACAACTCACAAGACCTGCCCACAAAAAAAACTTCGGAAACTGAATCGTTCAGTGTGGCTTTCACACATTTGAAGATGTCCACCCTGATGCATGACGCTATAAGAATCCCCAAATTTTATCTCACCCTTACCGGGATATGGCCTGTGTCATCATCTACAGTTTTGCACAGGGTAATGAGCCATGTTTCCTTCGTGGTCGCCTTTTCATTCTCCCTGAGCATGGTTATGGAGTGCTCGAAACACTTGGACGACTACCAGATCCTGTCGGAGATAGTTTCCATCCTCATTCCCCCTACGGCGCTGGTTTTCAAGGTTCGTATTCATGGGTCATTCTCAGAATAGGCATAACTGGTTCGATTTTGAAGAAAAAAATTCTTCGGGAGGTAGACTTTTTTTTCGGGTATATTAAATATACAGGGTGGTCCGTTTTTCAATACGGAAAAGTTAACAGAGTAAAGTACTCGTTAAAATAAATAAATAAATAAAATTTCCTATGAACATATACTTTTTTCTGCAACCGACACAAAAGTCGTCCATTTTGATACCAAAATTAGCTCTTAAATTGACGTTTCTATTACGGACACAAAAATAGGTATGTTGCTAAGCAACATATTTAGTTCCTAGGAGCTAAAGTTCAATTTTAGTTCCTAGGAGCTAAGTTGAACTTTAGCTCCTAGGAACTAAAAAGGATCTACTGGACGTCATCAAGAATAAACAACATTGGGACGGTTGGTTATTTGGGTTGAGAAGCATACCTGATTTGTTTCCGATTTCAGCGGATTTGGCATTTCATACCCATGCTGGAGATATAAATACACCTTATTATAGTTTAGTATTGGAGTTATAAATATCTCAGTCGAGTATTTTGGTTTTGATCAGGGAAGCCTTCAAGATTCAAATACTTGCTTGATCTGTATTTCATTCGTTATTCTCGGAATGGATAACTTGTTTTTGAATAATCACGGCAAGCAATAGTTTTTTTTGTCTCAAACAACGATATTGTTTAGCTTCATTTGATTATCAAGTCAAACACAGTGTAGTATGGAGAGGAATAAATAATCACTATTATCATTGTTGATATGCTCACTAACCACAAACACTAACATTTTCCACGTCTTGTTCCAATAGCTGGTACTGGCGCGGTATTTGCCATTAGAGCACCTGGTCCATACACAAATATGTCACTCTGTGGTTGTATTTATATTGAAACTACAATTCGAACATCCTTGAAAACCTAACCTGCTGTTAATGCAGGTAGAATATTCTCACCACATGGATTATTTGTCAATATTTGTTGCATTGCATACATATGGCACGGCATTGGTGGTTACTTCACATGTTTATTTGAGTTAATTGTTTCGGTTGCAGAAAAAATAGCATGTTTCATTCGGATCAAAAGTGACTTTGTTCGACTCGCAAATTTTGCTTTCGCTCTGCTTCGCTAAACGCTCCGCCTCGCAAATTCAAAATTCGCTTGTCAAACAAAGTGTCACTTTTGATCCTAATAAAACAATCTACTATTTTAATCGAAAGTTAGAACCGGTAGATAAATTAACGACATTTTTCACAGATACTAAACTTTTTGAGCTTTATTAGATTAAATAAAAATTATCCATAAAAACTATTCAGTGGCGGCTGAATCTGGGGTGGCGAAGGTAATAATTACACAAATTTTTCGGGTAATTATTTTTCATTTATTTTTCAAGTTTCAATGAAAAAAGCTCGCTTGTAAGATTTTATAACGCTTTTTTAGTTAAATAATACTACTTGATATCAATTAAAGGAGTAGGCTATGCTCAGTTGCTCACTGTTCACTGTTTATATGTGCTGTCACTCTGAAAGTTCTGTCAAAGAAATAACAAACTGGAGTTATTCCGTGTTCTTATCAAAAAGTGTAATAATTTTATTCCAATTTTGCCGTTTGTCAATATGCCTATGGGATTTAGTACTGAAGAGTATGCAGATATTCATTTCGTTTACGTATTTTGTAATGGAAACGCAGAGGCAGCAGTTCGGGAATACAGAAATCGCTTCCCTAGGAGAAGGGTACCTAATGCACGAGTCTTTATCAATACTCACTCACGTTTCCGTCAGTTTGGGTTACGTGGCAATAATGAACAATACCGAAATAATGGCCCACTGAGAAGAAATGATAACAATCACATTCTTAGATTTTTTGATGTTAACCAACAAATCAGTTCTAGAAAAGCAGCTCAACAGTTGCAGGTAATTTATAAACTAATATCATGTCATGCTTTTAGTAATTTTGGTTCTCTTTTTTCGTTTAATACTAGTTATCAGTTTATACTATTGCACGCATAAATAAAAGTAATAGTTCCGACTTTTTTTCAGGAAGCCTTTTCATTTGATGACGGTACAACATTTACATCCTGAAGATCCTGAGAAGAGAGTGTCTTTTTCGGAATTTATCTTAAATAAAGTTGACAACAATAACGACTTTTTACATAAAGTCTTATGGACTTGAACACCCTATATCACGAAAACGAAGCGTTTAAAAGTATATGTTCATAGGAAGTTTATTTATTTATTCAACGAGTACTATACGCTGTTGAATTTTCCGTATTAAAAAACGGACCACCCATAGGCTGATTCACGGTGGATGGCACATTAGACGTTTTGAAAAGTAGCAATTTCTTTGATTTTTTGAATAAGACACCCTATATATCATTCCATTTTCAGATTCTTCCCAAAGAGTTCTGATTTCATCGATCTATTACACTTTGGGTCTAGCGGGAATGATAACAAAGATATAGAGTGTGAAAAATCGAGATTTTTCAACTTCAAGAATTTCTTGTGTCGAAACTATACTCATAATTAGTCAGAATGGTTTTCATGTCTCTATCTCACCTTTTCATGTACTATCAATTGATATTAAATCGAAATAGATGCAGGGTGGTTGAAAATCCTAATTCTGAACCATCTATCTACTCCTTCAACTGTGATCACCCAGTATGTATGAGACATGTGAAGTATGGGTTTCATGAGAATGACCCATAAATCCAGAATATTTTGACCACAATTTTACAAAAAGCTTATCATCAATATTTGAGTTGTAGGTACCGAAAATGTGATTTTCTCATGGTTTTTCAGAATAAGGTAAAAAACAACATTTTTATCAGCGTTTATTTTTTCATTGAATCAGCGGTTACTTAATGGAAATCCAATGGAAATGTAAGAACTCTTCAGAAACGATTTTTTGGAAAAAACACGATCATGTCTTGCTTCACTGTATGCACACTGTACAGGGTGGCTGGAATTAGAGCCCCATCTATTGGGATCTCCTAAACCAGAAAAGATACAGGATTGGTTGAATTATGGCAGAGTTGCTCAATTTTATTCTTAACATGATGCCGTTCGGAAACTTGTAAAACTACTTTCGTAGATATCTGAAAAAACTGCAATTTCCTAAAACCGTTTTTATTTTTTGCAAGCTATACTTATTTGAAGAAATCAATCGAGATGCATACAACTTCGTCATAGCCATTTTTTTCTGCAAGTTGGCGTTTTCCAATTTGAAATTCATTGTTTCGTATTCGAGAAATTATCATCAGCTTATTTTTTTGTTCAGTTTTGATACCACTCATCATCATCGATTCTTTAAGTTTACTGGGTAATGAAAATTGCACCTGCCCATATTTTAAATCAATCATCAAAAATAAATTTTAAAAGAAGGGTTATTTTCCATCAAACCATTGAAAAAATCGATACCCTATTGAGGAAAAAGCACTATTTTTATTACGCAGAGAACTTTGAAATCGATTTATTTCAAAAATGGTGAATGATATCGAAACTACAAGAGTACCTACCATTTTCAAGTGAACATTTTGAGATTTTCATATTTCCTGGTCATACTGCCAAATATTGTCTGAACAAAAAAGTTGTCTAAAAAAGTGCCTCTAGGCCCACCTATTTCCCACACCTCTGATCAAAATTCGGAAAGTTTTAAACATTTCCAAATCGTGCATAAGAACTTACGTGAATGTCCCAGAATCTGTGGTTCAAATCTTTCTATGTAATTTCTGGACACCCTGTATAGGTGGTTTCCTAGTATAGGTAAGTATACCCACCATTATTTTTTCAATGGTTAGTGGCTTTTTCTATACCTGTAAAAAACCGCATAGTAGCATACCGTCCTTTTAAAAGGACATTGTCTCGATCGTTACTATACTGACTATACTATACTGAATTCGAGAATCGAGAATCAGAAATTTACAAGTTTTTTTATCATGAAAAAGTGGTTGATAGCCGAATTCATTCATAATTTTATGCACGTCAAGCTCGTGGTCTTCAAGTTAAAGTCGAGGAGTCTTCTGGAGCTGATGAAGCATCTCGACTTGGGGGAGTTCAACTACTCGAAGGAGTTGAAGTTGCTGGAGAAGGAGATAAAGTTCACCAGGCTGCTGGGCAATTCGTACCAGGTACCATTTCACATTCATTTGTAAATTTCATGAATGTATTTTATTATTTTTGTGTCATGATTGTCATTTTTTATTTTATAAAAATGAATTCCTATTTCCCTTGGTCACGTCATCACATTTCACATTCTCTTTCTGTTATGTTTGTTAATGTCAGGTACTTAGGTATGAAAGAAAACATTAAGAAATTCATGATGACGGATCCAATATGGCGGGCGATTTTTGTAATTATGATCCGATTCTGTTCAAATCATGATTCTTTCGTCAAAATTGGAAGGTTCAAGATGGCGGGTAAATATGGCGGACTAGCTTTGTAATTATATGATCAGATTCTATTCAAAATTGGTATCTGGGAGTTTTTGGGGTCGTAGATTATGATTCATTCCTCCAAAATTGGAAAATTCAAGATGGCGGATCCAATATAGCGGACGAGCTATGTGATTTTGTTCCGATTCTATTCAAAATTGGTGTATGGAGGTTTTCGAGGTATGAGATTAAGATTCTCTCGTCAAAATTGGAAAATTCAAGATGGCGGATCCAATATGGTAGACAATAAGCTTTGTAATCATGTTCCGATTCTTTTCAAAATTGGTATCTGGGAGTTTTTTGGGTCGGAGATTATGATTCTTTCATTGAAATTTGAAAATTCAAGATGGCGGATCCAATATGGCGGACGAGCTTCGTAATTATGTTCCGATTCTATTCAAAATTGGTGTCTGGAGGTTTTCGGGGTCGGAGATTATGATTCTTTCCTCAAAATTCGAAAATTGAAGATATGGCGAATTCATTATAGTGGACGACTTTTGTAATTATGATCCGATTCTATTTAAAATTAGTATCTGGAGGTTTTCGGGGTCGGAGTCTATGATTTTTTTGTCAAAATTGGGAAATTCAAGATGGCGGATCCAATATAGCAGACGAGCTTTGTAATCATGTTCCGATTCTATTCAAAATTAGTATCTGGGGGTTTTTGGGGTCGGAGTTTATGAATCTTTCGTCAAAATTGTCGTCTTATGATTATTCTCATTATTATTATTATTATAGGTCACCGCTTTCATGGTCATCCTCCTGTACAGCATCACGCCTTTTATATACAACGTCGATTTGCCCATTATGTTCAGTTACAATGTGGGGCGCTGGTTTTCAATGGGGATGTACGCTTTCCAAGTCTTAGGTAAGGGCACTAGTCCAGTCGTCAGGTCGTGGAAAAGCAATGTCACGACGAAATAATTATTTTCCTACAACTGTCAAAAAACTGCCCTTTTTCATATATTTTGTGTGCCAAAAATGTACAATTTTTCAATATCGAGATACTGTTTCATCATTCTACGGTAAAGTGTGGAAAAAGTACACTTTTTTTCACGGTTGTTGCTAGGCGATGGAATGAATGTTTGCGTGAAAGGGGCCCATACACTGCGTTGTTGGCAGGTTGTTTTGTTCGACGAGCAAGTATGTTCGAACAGAAATGATGCAAAACCGAAGTGCGTGGCTGCAAAATGATCGTTTTCGCTAGCCACACACCACAAACCACACACTTCGATTTTGCGTCATTTTTGTTCGAACAGACTTGTTCGACGAACAAAACAGTCTATGGGCTCCTTTACGGGATGAAGCGAGGCAACAAGCGAACAAAACAAGACGACAGACTTCGTATTTTGTATGGAGTGTCAGTGAGATGGGAGCGAGAAGAAGGCGCCACGATCATAAGTTGAATGAGGTTGTCATCTGTTTTGACAGTTGTAGGAAAAATATTGTATGTAACACGTGCGTAAAGTGATTTTTTACTCATAGGAATTGCTGCAGTCCGCCTTCGGCGTCGTGTCAACATTTCCTAATCGTACAAAAAAGTACCACATTACGCACCTATTACATAAATAAGTATTATGGACCGTAGCGTGTAACAGCCTAAGCTGTAAATAGTTTCAATCCCTTCGAATTCGGTTCAGTAGTACAGCCGAAATCAAGAGTCAAAAACCGGAAACTTGTCTCATTTTAGTGCAAACTAACATTTTGCGACTATGCAGGACCACATAAGCTTCGAAACAGATAAGTTTATCTCGACTTTTAATGAAAAAAAAATCAAAGGACAAAAGTTGATGTAGATGATTTTCGAGTCATATAGATATCATAATTTTCCAATTCAGTCATTTTGAAAGACAACATTTTGCATAAATTCAGAATCGATCATAAATGAAATTCAGGAACTTTTGTGAAAGAAAGTGTTATATATATGCCATACCCACGGCCACCTCCACCACTGAAATCTGCCAGACATCCCGATCCAGTTTTTAATAATAATAATAATACTAAGGCAGTACAATGAGGTATAGGATAGGAGACATCGATCTATTAAATGGACAATGAAATGTGTTGTCATATCTTTGACTATAACTCAATGTGAATAGAGCCATTATTTTTCTACTATCTTAAACCTATTTTTCTGTATGAAAATGAAGGTGAAGAATTGGTTGGTTTGAAAATTTGATTTTTTGAGGTATTCTCAATCTTTCTTTTTCAAATTGCTCCTCTCTTCTCTCTTGAGGTATGTAAGTCAATGTTAATAAAGCCATTCTTTTTCTCCCAGCTCAACCTATTTTTCTGTGGAAAAATCATGGTGAAGAATTTTGTGCAAAAACTGTTCATTTCAGAAATATCAAGATAACTGTTTGATATTAGATAATGAACCATCTCAACTAAATCATATAGATGTCCTGAATTATACAGAAATGCTTATTACGATTCACCTATACACCGGGCGCTGAAATGTCACTTTACTCCCAGTCGTGCATAAACAATACATTATTTTTCAGGATTATTCAACGCTGTCGCTAGCAATACTAGCATCGATGTCCTGATTGTGAGTCTGATGGGAATTGGCAGTGCTCAAATCGACATTTTGAATTCGAAAATTTCAAATTTGGAATACAATTCGATCGAAGATAATGTTGAGGGAAAGAATGACAATGATCATAGGTTTGATGAGTGTATCAGACACCACAATTGGATCATAAGGTTCGTCAACAATAGAGAATGAAACAGGTTATTGGACAATTTCCATGTACAGGGTGTTCCTCTACGGGCCAGTTTCAGCTGTGTTAAATAATTCCATCAACAAAATCGGACTTTATCTTGGTCGACTAAAATTATATAATTTTCCACTATTTTTCTTATAAAGTTATGAAATCGATTTGTCCTACTACACATATATGATAAAAACATCACTATAAAACGAAAATTATAATAGGTTGAAAATTTGAAAAGAGGTATTTGATTAATTTATCTGATGAAATAATGCAACTGTACGGTACCTCCGTTATTTTAAATATTTTATATCAGCAATATTTTGCCAAATGACTTATTTTGGTGAGATATACAGGGTGTTTGAAAAACCTGACCCTCTTAATAGGGTAGGTAGAACACTGCAAAATAAGTTGGCATCCGTTATCAAGATACAAGGTGTTGAAAAAATGATTTTTTTACACATTTTTCACGATTATGTCGAAACTACTGGCAACATTGTAATGAAATTTTGTATGGATGTTTCTTGAAATCTGACACATCGCATGAATTTGTTTTTATATTCTACTCTAATAGAGGGCGCTAGTTACACGGTTCGTACCGAGTATAGTTTTGAACATAACTTTATTAAGGTTAGATTTTTCAATCCGAATTTGATGTGAATTAACTTGAACATCATTTAATTTCACACCAAAAAGGTACTCTAGGTAAAACTCGATACTGTGTTCCGTTTTCGGAATATTTTGATTTGAAAATGATGAAGTGGTAACTGTTGCTGGTATAAAAGCTATGTATTAGAGTGACTATTATGAAAAATTATCACCTATTTATTGAAAACCGAAAACAACAATACATTTCTGATGCTGAACTTATTGATTCAACAATGAATCACAAGAATAACATCGAAACAGATTTGACTAAGAACATGGATTACACAGTTTTGTTATATCTTGAGCAGAAAGTCTATGCTACATAGGTAAATTCACGTCAAGAGTTGTGAGACATAATTGGACATCACTTAAATGACCTAACAGCTGATTCCCAACTGTTAAGAATAATAATATTCTTCAGAAAAGAATTTATAGAATCGTGTATTCGTCAAAACGTAGGACATTTTGAACACTTAGGTACTCTGATTCAATATTTCATGTTTCTAGTCAAATATCTCTTAATTTTCTACTTATGATTCTTTGTTCCATCAATAACTTCAGCACAAGAATAATTTCATTGTTTTTGAATCTGAATAAATAGGTAAGTGAACTCAATAAAATTAATTTTATACCAGCATCATAACTATACTCCATTATTTTTAAATCGAAATATTCCGAAAACGGAACATAGTATCGAGTTTCACCAGGAGTACCGTTTTGGTGTAAAATTGAATGATGTTTAAGTTTATATCATATTTGGATTGAAAAATCTAATGTCAAAAAAGTTATGTTCAAAACTACTCGGTACGAACCGTGTAACTAGCGCCCTCTATGAGAGTCAGATATACAAACAAATTCATGCGATGTGTCAGATTTCAAGAAACATCCATACAAAATTTCATTACAATGTTGCCAGTAGTTTCGGAATAATCGTGAAAAATGTGTAAAAAATTATTTTTTCAACACCTTGTATCATGAAAACGGATGCCGTTACGACATTTTTTCACTGAGCAAACCCAACTTATTTTGCAGTGTTCTACCTACCCTAGCAAGGGGGTCAGGTTTTTTTGAAACACCCTGTATATATCTGGTTAAAAAGAACAGGTACCTCACTTTCAGATTCACCCTGCATAATTCACGAATGAAATATACTATTGTTTTTAGATTTGTTGAAAGTCTAGATGATGTATTCTCGTGGAGCATTTTTATTCTATACGTGACTAGTGCTGTGGGTATTTGTAATGTTGGATTCCAGTTGGTTCATGTAAGTTTAATGATAGAAGAGAAAACTCCATATCTTTGTTTTTTTTTTCGTAACGAAAATGTTTTCAGACCCCATTTGATGATCCTATACAGCTAGCAAAAATGACGTTCTTCTTCGCCGCAATGCTTTTTCAACTACTACTGTATTGTTGGTATGGTAACGAAATAATACTGAAGGTATATAACAATTAATTTTGGATTTAGCTAGATGCCCTGTATGTTATTTTATTTCCAGAGTGCAGCAATTAGAGATGCATGTTACGAATCAAAGTGGTATGATTCCGATTTGAAAACTAGAAAATCTTTGATTTACATTATGGAACGTTCTAAGAAACCACTTTTCTTAACAAGTGGTAAATTTTCTATTGTATCATTGGATTCATTCATGTCAGTGAGTTGAAAGTTTTTATCCTTCCACCTATATCAGAATATCAGTTTTCTTGATTATTTCTGATAAAATGTTCCTTTTTTACAGGTTATCAAAACTTCTTACTCCTATTTTGCATTATTGCAAACTCTCGTCAAAGAAGAACAACGCTGAGAATTTTCACCGTCACATACTATTTATAAATGAAATTTTTCACTGAAAGAGGTAGGTACATTCCAAAATCGCACAAGCTGCTGCTTTTTCAATGGAAGTCATTGTTGAAAATGTATAATTCACATTTGACGATTTGTTGAAGCCAAATCGTCATTTCCTTGAAGCAAAATCGTCATTTCCTTGCACTAAGCATAGATCTAATGCACTGAGCCACTGAGCTAGTATGTAAAATCTGTTTCACAGCTACCGTATCCGGCCTCTTGAAGCAATTTTTCTTGGTTTACCATTGTTGAGATAAGGCATTTTTGGATTAAATAATGTGCACTGTGGTATTCCTCAACAATCTTTTCACTTATAATTCAGGTTGATTCACGCCCATACAGCACATGTATGTCCAATGTACGAACAATGTACGTCCACTTCGGATCGTGAGGACGTCCAACCGACGTTCATTTAACGTCCATAAACCTTCAGAATTGAAAATTTCAAATAGATATTTACTTTGAACAATTCTTTTTATGCTTAGACTTAGAATGGCCGTTGAATAGACGTCCCATAATGTTCGTCCGTCTCTGTACGTACAATGGCTGTTGATCAAACGTCCATGAGAGTTTTAGTCCGTGAGATGACGAATGTCCAATGAACGTTAATTTTGGAACATACATTGTTCATCTTTATACGTACAATGGATGTACATTCTACGTACATGGGCGGTTGTTGAGTGAATGTTCACTGTACATACAATTCAGTGCATCCAATGATAATCCATGTTTGTACGTACATTGGATGTTCATTCAATGTCAATGGACGTTTTTGGAATTAAGATGGGCCTAGAATGGACGTCCAATGGATGTCATGTGCTGTGTGGGCGGTGGATGGCACATTAGACGTTTCTAGAGAACGCAACGTTTGATTATACTGAAAATTTGGTTTGGATAATTAGTTGTGTTCATACCACCTAAAATATTCTCAACACTGCGACGTTGCCGCTTATATTGAAAAGTAGCAACAACTTTGATTTTTTGACTGGGACACCCTATATATTATTCCTATTTTCTGATTCTTCCTAAAGAGCTAATTTCATCGATCTATTACACTTGGGGTCTTGCGAGTATGATAACAAGGATATAGGGTGTGAAAAATCTCGATTTTTCAACTTCAAGAATTTCTTGTGTCGAAAATATTCATTATTAGTCAGAATGTTTTTTATGTGTCTATCTCAACTTTTCATGTGCTATCAATTATTGATATTCAGCAATTGAAATGGATACAGGGTGGTTGAGATTCTTAATTCTGAACCACCCTGTACCTATATTTCACTTAAATATCAATTGATTGGTATTGAAAAGTTGATATAGGAACATGGAAACCGTTTTGACCAATTATGAATAGTTTCGACACAAAAAATCGTAAAGTTGAAAAATCTCGATTTTTCACACCCTATATCTCAGTAATTGTCACTGCTAGACCCCAAGTGTTATGCGTCAATGAAATCAGATCTTCAGGGAAAATCTGAAAATAAATGGAATATTATACAGGGTGTCCCATTTTAAAAAATAAAAGTTGTTGCTACTTTTCAATATGAGCGGCAAGGTCGCAGCGCTGAGAAAATTGCATGTCGATAGAGCACAACTAATTATCCAAGGCATCGAATTTTCAGAATAATCCCAATGAGTTACGTTCTCCAGAAACCTCTAATAATGTGCCTTGCACCGTGAATCAGCCTGTATATCAGACGAATTCTAACTGCAAGGTATTTATGTGACTGAAATAATAAAAAATGCTGATTTCAAGGCACTGAATAGTTTTATTTCATATAAAAAATTAAGTACATAGAATAAATAAGTAAAAAAGCAATACCCAACTTGACCAGTAAATTATCTGAAATGGAATGATGAGTCTTGAAATATCATAGTGAAAAGATACATTGATCATCTTTTTCTAAGACCTACTATAAGTGTTCTACAACTATAATAATATGAGTGAGTTTGTTCAGACAGTATTCATTGAAACTTAAATTTTCCTCAATTAATGAAATTCATCAGGATTTTTGGTACACTGTCCTCTTTCTGCTCAGAAACATATAAAATACCGAATCTGATTGTAGATTCATGTAGTCGTAGAAAAAGTATAGTACACACGCTCACGTGGAGTTAATTTGCATGCGTAACTTGCGATTTACAACTTTCCTAAAACTCTAAGGTACTTTGTAATTGATATATCTAAGAAGCGTACAAAATGATGTTTTTTATAGTTTATATTTCATGTCAAATTTGTTGAAATGAATTCAGAGGTATTGTGTGAATAGCTGCTCGTTAAAAATGTCTAGACGTGTAAAAATATATTAAAAACGATGAAAACACATAGGTATACCTACTTGACTGGCAGGTAAAACTAAGGGGAATTGAATGTAATATTACATCTACATAGAATAACAGAATTATAAATATTTTGTATAATAATTATTATAATAATGATTTTACTAAATATTCGTAAATGACAATGATGTGAACACATGGAAATCTCATATCACATATTGCATTTATTCAAAACAGATATCCTCAAAAGTTGAAATGAATTTGAGTTTTTAGTGTAAGCAAAGCTAACTGATATAATTATTTTTGTTCAACTTTTGATTCATATTCGAGAATACTTAATACTATCTACCTACCTATTTGGGACTAGAGGTTACTTTTTATTATATTTAAACCCTCTTGAGAACAACCGTCAAAGTACAAGGCACTAAAAGTGTGGAATATATTATAGTCAATCTACAACAAACGTTATTCAATATTAATAGTCCTATAATATAAATAATTGAGATTACTCGTCAACAATTCAAATAAATAGTCTTATAAAAATAGAATCACAATATGAATACTTTTCGAATTTTCTTCTTCTTATCTCATTCAAAACTGGAACTTATCTATTTTTCACATTATAAAATATTTTGAAAAATTCTGATACTATAATGTGGTTCTAAGGGAAATAAATTTAAGTTTACTGGTGAATCACTGTGATTAACTTTCCACATATTGTATAAAAATGCATATTTTGGTTATGTACCTGTGATTCACCCCTCACCGAAATAGTTGTGTAAAAATACATATACACGAAATAAATACATATTTCTGTGTGATACTACATATTTTGTTCAGTTTCTGTGATTCGCCATTTTTTTTAACACACAGAAATAAAAAATGTTTGTTGAATACATGATCATTGTGTAAAATAACATATTTTATGTAAAAATACACATTATTGCGCGGAAACACCACCCAATAGAAACACTCTCAGTAATTATTGATGATGTCCATCGCTGTCATTTCGCCGCCCCATTCGGTTTCCGTATTTTTCAAAATTCTGATGTTCTGTCAGTGAAATTTTGATGTATAATAAAAATCAGGAGTGAACTGGAGAACCATTGTGATCCAACTCTCACCTAAATATGAAGTAAAGATTCATATTTTCGTGTTCATATATGGAACATGGAATAAACATCCATAAGAGCAGTTTTCCAGAGAAAAACATGACTTAGGACAGTGAGCGCAAGATTCGCATAACGAATAGATTAGATATACATAGACAGAAACAATACATGATAATTCGGTGAAAATAGACATTTTTATGTAAAAATTTGTAAAATTACATGTATTGTGTGAAAATATGTAAAATTACACATTTTCGTGCAAAATCACGTATTAGAAGAACCCCACGAAACCAAAACCGCTCAGTAATTATTGATGATGTCCATCGCTGTCATTTCGCCGCCCCATTCGGTTTCCGTATTTTTCAAAATTTTGATGTTCCGTCAGTGAAATATTATTATTTTGATGTATAATAAAAATCAGGAGTAAACTGGAGAACCATTGTGATCCAACTTTCACCTAAATATGAAGTAAAGATTCATATTTTCGTGTTCATATATGGAACATGGAATAAACATCCATAAGAGCAGTTTTCCAGAGAAAAACATGACTTAGGACAGTGAGCGTAAGATTCGCATAACGAATAGATTAGATATACATAGACAGAAACAATACATGATAATTCGGTGAAAATAGACATTTTTATGTAAAAATTTGTAAAATTACATATTTTGTGTGAAAATATGTAAAATTACACATTTTCAAGCAAAATCACGTATTAGAAGAACCCCACGAAACCAAAACCGCTCAGTAATTATTGATGATGTCCATCGCTGTCATTTCGCCGCCCCATTCGGTTTCCGTATTTTTCAAAATTCTGATGTTCCGTCAGTGAAATATTATTATTTTGATGTATAATAAAAATCAAGAGTAAACTGGAGAACCATTGTGATCCAACTCTCACCTAAATATGAAGTAAAGATTCATATTTTCGTGTTCATATATGGAACATGGAATAAACATCCATAAGAGCAGTTTTCCAGAGAAAAACATGACTTAGGACAGTGAGCGCAAGATTCGCATAACGAATAGATTAGATATACATAGACAGAAACAATACATGATAATTCGGTGAAAATAGACATTTTTATGTAAAAATTTGTAAAATTACATGTATTGTGTGAAAATATGTAAAATTACACATTTTCGTGCAAAATCACGTATTAGAAGAACCCCACAAAACCAAAACCGCTCAGTAATTATTGATGGTGTTCATCGCAGTCATCTCGTCGCCCCATTCGGTTTCCGTATTTTTCAAAATTTCGATGTTCCGTCAGTGAAATATTATTATTTTGATGTATAATAAAAATCAGGAGTAAACTGGAGAACCATTTTGATCCAACTTTCACCTAAATATGAAGTAAAAATTCATATTTTCGTGTTCATATATGGAACATGGAATAAACATCCATAAGAGCAGTTTTCCAGAGAAAAACATGACTTAGGACAGTGAGCGTAAGATTCGCATAACGAATAGATTAGATATACATAGACAGAAACAAGAGTTTTTTCCATAAAATACATGATAATTCTGTGAAAATAGACATTTTTATGTAAAAATTTGTAAAATTACATATTTTGTGTGAAAATATGTAAAATTACACATTTTCAAGCAAAATCACGTGTTAGAAGAACCCCACGAAACCAAAACCGCTCAGTAATTATTGATGGTGTTCATCGCTGTCATCTCGTCGCCCCATTCGGCCTCAGGCTCGCCCCTGCAACAGGGGCAGCTCCTGTAGCAACAGGTCTTCCTGATCAGATAGGCGACGTGCTTCTGATCGAAGACGCACACGTAGAGGACGAGGGGGCCCAGCAGACCGTTGGTGACTATGTGGGTGTAGACGAGCCCTTCGAATTTCGAGAAGGAGGAGAGGAGGAAGAGCCACCACAGGGTGACCACCAACAGGACGAGGATGAACATGCGGAAACTGGAATAGAAGAATTGATTTAAACTACGCAACACTAATTTCTTTCCACGTCCTGTATGATGAATGTCAATTTATCATACATCCAAAAACGAATTTCGTCGCACCCCAAAATTTTGCCTCAGTAGAAAAATCAATAACTTTTTTCTGCTTTCAACGATTTGAATTCGGGTCACACTGTTCGCTAGCCCAGTCCTTCAGCTATAATCTCGTAATTTTTTAAAACATAAGGTTCTTCACATAAAATCGATACAGGGTATTACCTGAAACTGTGAAAAATTTCGGAAATTTTAAAAGTATGCCAAATCAAGAAAACATTTTTTCAACTTTGACTGTAGAGGCATGTAGATGATCTCATTATCTTGGGACAGTTATCGAATTGTCTCCTTATCTCTTTTATTCACAGAGTGATCTCAAAAATATTCATTTATTATACAAGGGAAAAAAGTAGTGGATTTTAGCTTCAGGTTGTGTTGTCTCCCGACGCGTAGCGGAGGGAGACAAAAAACCGTGAGCAAAAATCTAATATTTTTCCCGTGTATAATACACTATTTTTTTCTGTGACAGAAGAAAGGATGGATCAATATTGAGAAGATATTACATTATTTTGAAATCTGAACATTATCGACGTGAAATTTCAAGTTTTTAACAGTAGGGACACCTGCGTTGTAGGCATCTTTATCATTCTTTTAAAGTGATCAAATATCTGATGTCACTTCTGTCAGTCAAATTCTGTGATTTGATTTCAAAAAATTGCGAATTTAGTGGTTGTTTAGTAATATACGTAACCGCGAAGTCGAATGGAAGATAAAAGGACTTGCAGTTCTTTCTCGGAGACTGTATTATTGACTCATTTTTCGGAACTATAGCACAACAAAAGCCATCAACAGTGTATAAGTATATTCGGGAAAAAAGTAATCACTTTTTCCCTCGGGAAAAAAGTAATTTATGAAAAATGACATTTTTTAACCTGCCAACAGAGATGAAATGTCAAACTTTTTTCCAGTCACAAAAAAAATTATAATGGTGAAAAATAGTTGACAGGCCCTAAAAATCTTACCAATGTCGAAGTTTGTGATGAATCCTCCCATAAGTGTGCATCCTATTTATAGCCTTCAATGTGGTGGCGAAGAAAAATACATTGGCAAGAACTGTGAAGGCTACTGGTACAAAAAATATTATCATACCTAATGACCCTAAAAACACAACATTAATTTTATCTCAGATTTGGAATTCTCATAATACAGGGTGAGTCATTGAAATGGGAAAGTGAGATAACAACTCCGCTGTTTGAGATAGATGAACAAAAATTTTTGTGATTGTCTAGGCTCATGAGCAGCACAATTCGAAAATATTTCGCGTTATACAGGGTGACTCAAAAATACGTTACGTATCGAAGTTATACTTTTTCTTATGGGTATTTCATTGCATTTTCGTAATCTCCTTTGTGAGCTGATTTCATCAATGCATCACACTTGGGGTCTAGCGAGAATGATTACAGAGATATAGGGTGTTCAAAATCGAGATTTTTCAACTTTTCAACTTCTGGGGAATCTCCTAATACAGACTGATTTTCATTTTCAATTTGTCACATCTAGAGGAAGAATTGAATATACAGGGTGATCCACGTTTGATTTATGACTTCCGCGACTATTTTTTCAAACGGAACACCCTGCATATTATTCTATTCTTTGAATTTCTATGAAGAGCTGGATTCAAAATTATATCACACATGGGGTTTGTATAAAGGGCGTCCATTAAATTCAGTGCTCTCGTAAAATGGGGTCGCACTGTATATAAAATCTATGTGTAATATATTTTGAAATTCAGCTTTTCATGGAGATTCCAAAAATTGAATGATATATAGGGTGTTTTTGAAGAAATTATCACGGACGTCAGAACTCGAACGTGGATCACTCTGTCTATTCAATTTACATTTATAAATGTGGAAGATAATAATAAAAAATAATCTACCTGTTTCAGGAAATTCCTCAGAAATTGATAATTTTGCTTTACATGAAATTATTCACTACTTCACCAGAGCACTTCATTTAATAATTTGATAAAATTGCAGACGTCAGAACTCAAACATGGATCACCCTGTATGTTTGACTACAAATGAATTTATTCCTATCATTTGCACCATATTGTATGGAAAAAACATTTCAAAGTACCAGGGTTGGGCTGATTTAAATCAATTGATTTAAATCAAGATAAAAATCATGATTTAAATCAAGTGATTTTTTTTTAAATCACAATTTAAATCGAAATAATAATTTCGAGAACATTTATTATTTTTGAATAATAAGAAATATTAAACTGAAATAAAATAGTAAAACCGGAATTTTCTTGTACAGACATGTCGGTCGACCCACATCGTCCTACTGAGAATGGCTTTCTTTGTGAATTATATTTTGTTTCAATTTTATAATACTCAAATTCATGAAATACACAAAATTAAAATGGTTTTGAGTTAAAAAATGGACATGAATGTTGACAGGTACCTATATTTATCGCGCATTAAGACCAAAATCAAAAAAAAATCCAAAAAATCCAAAAAATCATGATTTTTTATTTAAATCAATGATTTTTGATTTTTTCTAAAAAAATCAAGATTTGCCCAACCCTGCAAAGTACAGCCTATGTTTATATCTAACCCCACCAAAAATTCTCCCTTGATGTGTGGCCACATACTTAATGAACTAATTATAGATACCTATTTGCTCCCTTTGTTGATCGAAGGTCAACATGACCTTAGAGTTTATTTCTGGGTAATCCATGGTATAGTGAGCAAAAATAGCTAATACTCCCAAAATAATGGTGCAAGACCAAGCATATCCACCATAATAGCAATATTTTTTGCCATCAGTTATTCTTAAGAATACATTTCTGGATCTACAAAAATCACACTTGATGAAGGGTCAAGAAACAAGGAAACATGGATAATTTACCTGAAGGTCTTCCAAATGTAGTATCCAAGACTATTCAACCAAAAAAAGGCACCTAATAAACTGATATAACATATTGTCTCTGAAATAACAAGAATGTAGAATCAAAGACATATAAACTTTGTAGGGCATGAAATAGGGGTTCTAGCAGAATATTGACTGATTTTATTAGTAGGCATTTGAAAAATATAGATCTTACCTGCAATAAGTAAACTTATGTGGCTTGTGAACACAGTCAACAATCTTATCATATCACCAGTTTGACTTACTATAAGGCACATACATATTGTAGTAACAATATTTCCAGACAAGTCTCTGAGAGTTGGCATGACAAAATAAATAACTGCTATAGCCAGTAAGCAAGCTATAGACATGCCATGTGTAGCTGGGCTTACTATATTATGCATCAGAAATTCAGTACTGGTCAGCCAATTCTTGTTTATATCTGGGGCACACACCCATGCAAATTCACTCCTAATGCCATCTATTTTCTTGAAAATAAAATTATGTAGGCAACAATATTTTGTCCCTAATAGTTACTTACTTTATCTAAGCAATATTTGCTGAATTCATAGTCATGATATGGTGAATTGGTTTGGAGGATTTCTGGATCTTCTTCTCCAGGTACATCATGATGGTCAAAATAATGCCTCATAACTCCATTTGGCAAAAGTCTCAAACGATCTGTGGAGTTCTGATAGTGATAAATAGGCCACAACTGCATATGACCACAGTCTGGTAGACCTATGACTAAGCTACAAGAGGGTGAAAAAGTTCAAAAAGGCATGAGCTTCATTCAACTCACCTGTAGTTTTTCTGAAGGTTGGTGGCCCCTTTTTCTGTGGTAAATAGAGGTCTCCATTCCTCACTGGTTTGATTAACTGCTGTACAATGTTTTCCCATGTATATTTTGTTTTTATCACAACATTTGTTCACTTTTACAAGCTGTGTATTATCATTCTTGGGTACTTCTGAGTGTGTGGGACATATCAACAACAAAAGTAAATGAAAAAGTACCGGTAACAGGGCCATTGCAAGAGACTGGTTTATATGTTGAGTTTAAAATTATACTTTTACATCTGAGAAAAGAGTATCTGTATTTAGTATCATTCTACGTCTTGCTCATGCTGCCCTGGCCTGGTTGTAAGATTATGAATATCTGAATGTTTGAGATGATTCACATCCATTTGCATAAAGATTACTTCTTCATAGTTTTTGTCATCTCTATCCTTCATCTATCACTAGTTGGGGCCATTGGGGGGAGCATAGGGAGCAATTCTATAATTGGTAGATATCAGAGTTCAGACTTCAGAGTATCAAAAGTCAAAAGAGGCTGTACTCTCGAGATACATCATCAAAAAATTCCCGGAATTAACTTAAATATTTTTTCTTCACTTTTTTATGTTTTTGACATTTACCATATCTAAACTTCTGTCTCTATAGGTAACGAAATCGACCAATAGGCGTTAATGCCGACGTAGGGAAAAAATAGTACGACACCATTTTTGTTGAGATATCGCATAGGCGATGCGCCATATATAGAAATAGTAGATATATGTTTGTGACACATGACTGACATGGCCTTCCTTCAAAGTTCAGTGTTGCCGCTCACAAAAATCAAAATTATAAAAAACCAAATATAACTATGGTAATATTTAATTGTTCTGTGTTGTCTGTGGTGGGTGCCTAAAGTTTTCTAAACTGGTGGACCTAAACATAACCTTTATTGATGTTTTTTCGTGTTTTTGTGTGGTTTTAAGGGTTGTTTTTGATGATCATTAATTTTCATTGAGGAATTGAGACTTCAGGGTGTTTCAAGTTTTCAAGTATATCTTTGGTTTGGATTTCTTGGTAGTTCAGGTTGTTGAGTAAATTAAACTGTAGTTGAAACAACACTGCAGGAAGACCTTTTTGAACCTACAAGTTATTGTTCAATATCTTCCAAAATGGGTAGTATGGTGCATTGTCAGCTATGGATGGGCAGCGTATGTATTCAATACAAATCATATTACCTATCCCTAACCTTTCTTTTCCCTTTCAGCTGGAGCCCTACATGACTGAAACCTTCATTCTCACAGCATTCAGAAAAATGGGCGAGGCTCCTATGAGTGTGAAGGTAATGAGAAATAAATTCACTGGAGAACCGGCAGGCTATGCCTTTGTGCACTTCGCAAACGATGAAGAAGCTATTGATGCTATGCATAAATTGAATTCCAAGCCTATCCCTAATACAAACCCAATGGTTCGATTCAGATTGAATAATGCCAGTAACACTGGCAGATCACTTATTGATAGGGAATTCTCAGTTTGGGTGGGTGATTTGAGCCATGATGTTGATGATTATAACTTGTACAGGGTGTTTTCTTCAAAATATAACACTATCAAAACTGCAAAAGGTAATAGTTTATTATAACTAGTTTTCAAATGAGATAATTTTCTTCTCTATCCAGTTATATTGGACAACAGTGGGTTCAGTAAAGGATATGGTTTTGTAAGATTTGGAAGTGAAGAAGAAATGAAAGATAGCTTGATATCAATGAATGGCTATATTGGACTTGGGACAAAGGCTTTGAAAATATGTAATGCAGTTCCTAAACCTAAAGGGGCACTTACTCCTGGCAGTTCTACTGGCACAAATTCAGCTACTTCCAATGGTGGGACTGACTATAGCCAATATTATGATCCCACTACATATTGGCAAAACTATGCTAATTGGCAAACAGTAAGAATGCTTTTGGTGATATCTTGGTGATATTTTATTTCATTATATTTATTTGTAGCAAGGATACTTTGACCCATCAGAGCATCAAGTTGCTAATGATGGTTCTAGTGTAGCAATGGAAACAAAAAGGGAGGATGATTTGGATCTCATAGGTATAGTTTGATTAATATTTGGGTCATCAGATGTGATAGAAGTATTTTTCAGAACACTCTGCACCTGTTGATGTGGATAAGATGAATAGAGAAAGGCTAGATGCAGACTGTAACTTGTGGGATGCCCTAGAAAGTTCCAAATGGTTACCCTGTGACATGTTAGAGGTTGCCTGATGGTACAAATAATTCCAGGGGTCATACATTTCATAGGATTAATAATACTTATAGATATTCAAGTGTATTTTTTTGTATGATGTGATTCTGATTTGGTATTCTGTGAGAATATGTAGGTACATTATATATTCCAGTTTTAATGGTATTAAAATGTTCCAAGTGCATACCTAGTTCAGTATTTATTTATTGATTCAGTCAATTTCACATATCCAAATTAAATATAGCAAAGAACCTTTGGACTAGGCATACCTTTGCATATCCAGATTTGATCCAGAGAGTTGTTATGGTGATTGTGAATGTCAACAAAACAAAATATAATTGGGTTGGACCATTCTAAAGATGCCAATATTTGGTTCAATATTTTCTCCAAAGAAACCACCAAACCGTAAAAGACATGTTGGTGCTTCTAAAGAATCTTTGAGTGATTTATTAACTGAAGAGAAAAACGTCGTCTTAACTTTAGGAGATCAAGAATTGACTTTCAGAAAAGGTGATTGGATACCAGGTTAGTAGGTAGTAGGAGTAGGATAGTATGTGATTCATGTGTACAATTCTTGATTTTATTTGTACTGTTTTACAGAATCTGGGCAAAATAGTAATAGTTTCAAGTCCAAACAAAAGCTGAAGAAGAGAGTACAAGAGTTGGAAGAAGAAAATAATTTATTGAGGCTCAAGTATGAGATGATGTTGAACATGGTAGGTATTTTTCAGTATATAAATAATTACATTGTTTCCTGTAATTTGTTACAATTTTTAGTTAACAGAAGCTACAGCTGAAAGACATATCCAACAAAAAGGTTTTGACAAGCTAACAACTTGAAAATCAAAATAGTGAATGAAAATTGCTGGAATTTTGAAGAATTGTATAAAGACAAGATCCTTGATATTATTTAATTTGTTGATGATCGAGATGTTGATGAAAGTGGAATAAAGTTGATACTGAAGTAAAATGATCTAATTTTCTTGATATTATTTAATTTGTTGATGATCGAGATGTTGATGAAAGTGGAATAAAGTTGATACTGAAGCAACACGATCAAATTTTATTCTCATTATCTTTGAAATTTCGTTTGTTTACCTGGTTAGGTCAAGGTGGTGAGTTGAAGTTACCTAACCTTTTACCACTGGACGTAACACGTAACCACTTTTAGTGTTGTGATTAATCGCGAAAAATGGCCTAAGACTTCAACTGTCATATTTGATTTTGACCGTTCGAGAATTTGTGTTGTGTGGTTCTATGCAATTCTATGACTTCTATGAATTTGACAAGTTTTGAGTTTTTGACAGTATGTTATTTTTGAATTAACTGATTTTAAAACTGGAGATTTCCGAAATCAACTGAAAGGAAGAGAAATTGATGATTCATAAAGATAATGACCACAAAAGTATGTAATTGTTCAAAAAAATCATAAATTATTTGCCATTATTTTTCCAGTGGAAGGCTTTCGATTTCGGCCCTGCAAAAAAAGAACCAAGCCTGTCCAAGGAGTCTTCCAAAGCCGAAGGAATTGAACAAGATATCCCAGTACAAATTAAAAGAGCTTGTGAGAATCCCGGATCAAAAAAATGTTTCAATTTTCACAGTCGACTAGAGCCACAGAACATCAGTGATCTTGCTGTTCACTCAAAAAAAATACAAGAAGTACAAAACTGGTTCAATCAGTATGTGGTCAGTTCTCAGCAAGAGGTTTGTAATTATACAATGAATAATATATGTATTGTGTGATTCACTCACTTTCTTAGGATCTCTCACCATTTCTGCTATTGTCAGGGCCTACTGGTTGTGGAAAAACAGCTACTATCAAAGTGATCTGTAGAAGCTTAGATGTTTCAATTTCAGAGTACATAAACCCAGTAGACCAGGACTATGAGTATAAAGGAATGAACCAAATAAGTCAGTTCATTGAATACCTCATTGAGTCCAAGTGGACTTCATTGTTTGATAGTTCTGACAATAGAGTTACATTGGTTGAGGATTTTCCAAATGCATTGATACATCAACCAAATCAGTTCCCGGATATTTTAGAGTGAGTTTTTCATTCAAACCTAGCCATGATTTATAATTCAGTGATTATTTTTAGAACTTGTCAATACAAAACAAGACATCCTGTGATATTTATAATAACAGATCCAAGTGGCAGTAATATCAGTCTCCTGAGAACATTGTTCACTGATGAAATTATCAGTAAATTCAACATCTCACACATAAGGCAAGAATAACACTTTATTTTTTCTGATACATTTTTATCTGAGTTTTTATCATTGCAGTTTTAATAATTGTGCACCTTCATTGATGAAATCAGCTATTAAAAGGGCTCAAGATTTGGTCAGAGCTAATCCAGAATCTCATAAGCAACCATCAACTGAAATTATTGAAGCTATTTTAGCATCAGCAATGGGGGATATTAGGAATGCAATAAACCAATTTCATATAGCTAGTCTAAAAGGTTGAGGCTTGCAGATTAAAAAATGTTCTTGTTAAAAATGGTGCATATTTTTCTAGATTGTGAACAGATTCCAGTGGTTGCAACAAAAATGCAAATTGGGACCAAAAGAAAAAGAAATGCTGTTCAATCTAAAACTTCGATGTCAAGGGATGAAAATCTGGGATTATTCCATGGCTTGGGGAGAGTTTTGAACCCCAAGAGAAAGGATGTCCCAGAGGGTTGGAGACTCAACTATGATATGGAAAAATTGATAGATGAGTTTTCCACACAGCCACAACAATTTCACTCATTTCTGTTTGAAAATTACTTGAGGTAGCTTCTTCTTTGTGTTTTCCAGGGGTGAAGGGTAATGGGGTGGTAATGGGTTACATTTATTAACGTTTTTGGGGTAGGGATGCCGATTCTAATATCGATTTTGCAGAGATCCATCTTTTTCGCCCCAAAAAAATCGATTATTTAATCAATTTTTCTGAAGGATGCCATTCATCCAATGGATTATTTTTTTACAAAGACCGATCTGGAACTTCTTATATTGTTGTGACTGGGAAAATATAATAATTTTGTTCCTTATGTTTCTTCCTTATTGGGAATTTATTTTTATATTTAATCATTTTTCATTATATTCTATACTTTTTCATTGCATTCATGATAATATTCCTCAAGTTATCTCATAATGATACCTAATCTGAAGAAAAACAGTATTATTTTCAAATTTGGCGCGGTTTGTGACTAATTTTTACCTTGATCTTTTTTTAGGCGATTTCGGATTCGAATTGATTCAGAAATCGATTTATTTTTGAATAAATCGGCATTCCTATTTTGGGGTAATAATCATACATTGAAATTATATAACCAGTTTTGGTTATAGTGTTTTTCCTGGGAAAATTCCACTTGTACTAATGTTAATGTACTTTTGGAATAATTTTTTCCCTTTCTTTGGAACCAGAGCTGGTTCTGGATTATTTCCCAAAGGTGATCTGAATTTCATACAAAATCTGAATGATAAAAATACATTTGATTTCTGCCTAGTTGATGAATAATTTCCACCAATGCATATATATCTACTATTTCAATATATGTCGCATCGCCTATACGATATCAAAAATGGGACCAAAATGAGAGGTACTTTTTGAATCTATAAGGACGGAAAGTGAAGGATGGAAACAGCCAAATTGACCATTCCAGAACACGTGATTTTGACATGGTTCCTTGAGGGGCACACAAACTATCTGTTAGGTTACCTTTGATGAGCATAGCCCTGACTCAGCCCTGACCATCCCTGCCATATCCACAATATAATAACAGTTTCACCAAACAAAATTATGAAATTCTCTCTGGTTCCAAGGAAAACGATCCAACTAATTCTGGTTTCATATGACAAATTTTGACAAAATACAATGTTTGCCCCTCAGCAACCTGTCAAATGACGTAATTCTGGAATGATTTATTGGTTTGATAAGTTTCGTATTATTTTTTCCCTACGTCGGAATCAACGCCTATTGGTCGATTTCGTTACCTATAGACACAGAAGTTGGTGAAGTTGGTACCACTTTGAGGAGAGCTAGGATTCATATATGAGTAGTAGATATGATGTAATGTGATTAAATACCAGTGCATTCTCTTTTTTTTAAGCTGTCTATCTCTTCTTCTTCCCATCAATTTGAATGTCTTTTAGAGTCTATCTTCAGTCTTCAACGTTATGTAAACTATTCATTCTTTTTTTCTAATCACATATATCTACTACTCATATATGAAGCATAGCTGTCCTCAAAACGGGACGAACTTCTGTCTCTATAGGTAACGAAATCGACCAATAGGCGTTGATGCCGACGTAGGGAAAAAATAAAACGAAACTTGTCAAACCAATATGGCTGTTTCCCTCCTTCACTTTCCGTCCTTATAGATTCAAAAAGTACCTCTCATTTTGGTCCCAGTTTTGTTGAGATATCGTGTGATATCGTATAGGCGATGGGCCATATATAGAAATAATACATATATGACTTAACATTTGTGTGGTCATAGAACATTAACTTCTCTGTGGTCATAGAACATTAAACTTCTAAGAGAATTGAGAATTCCAGTTATTTCAAAATGATGAAATGAAGGTGTTTTTGCAAGGTATTTTGGGGAACTTCGAGACGCATGGAGAGCCGCAGAAGTTCTCAGCATGTCTGCGAAGTTTTTGGAAAACTGGACGGATCGTCATGAGACTTTGTTATTTGCTTTATGGATATCTGTGTTGGGCTTGATGATATTCAATGAGCACAAAGTCTCTAGATGGACTCAGATCAGGGCTCCTACCAGAATCACCAAACGGTAAGTGGAAATATTTATATATAGGAAGTCTATTTTTGATGAAGATGATGATTTTAGAGTTGAAAATGACATGGACTTTGCTGGATTGAACTCTACTGACTATTTTTATTATAATATGATTAAGAAATCTAACAGGTTTCATGCATTCCATTGTGATGTTTAGGATAAAGAATAAAGTTGAGTTTTCCTCATGAATACCCTGTTCCTCTTCATTTGAATATTGATGGCGAGAATTTTATATGTTAGAGTTGGGAATGTTCACCAGCTAATGAAGAATATTAATTGGTTTATTCCATCAATAGCACACTGCTGTTATTAAGGTTTGTTTATGCTTATTCAAAATCGCGAAATTTTTGCAAATCACAATTCGCGAAAATCACGAACCAATAGATGGCTCTATTTAACGTCAAATCAACGTCAAATTTCAAACTGAGTATGAACAACAAAAACATTGCCGTATGCACTCATTGCAAATTGGTTATTTCGAAATCATTTTGCGAAATAGTGAATAATGAGTTGACTTCGTGAAATACGTACAAGGTTTCCAGTATGGAAAAAATTACTTTTTGTGCAGAGAAATTGCTATTTGGATGTGGATAATGGTGGTATTCATCATTGATATCACACTACAATTCCACAGTTTTCAAACATATGGAATGGTCGGAATGGTCCACTCAACACTTGCATGGACTGGAAGCAATCAGCTATTACAAATAGGTATGAAGAAATAATTGAATTCATCAAGAAATATCACTGGCTTTTATGAAGGAGATGGAATTCTAGTGAAGGGGCTGGGAAAAGAAGATATGATTGGAAAGGCTGCTCAAAATGAACAATATCATCGATTTACATAAACAAGGATCTCCAGCAATTGAAGACTTGGAGTTATTCTCAAGATTAAATTATTGCAACCAACATTTATACAAGGATTCTAACTGTGCTTCAGAAAATGTATATTATATTATTATAAGGTAGGTACTGGCTTCTTCATTGTAAACAATAAAAGTTCATGCAATAATTCGAGTTTTTTCATCAGGAAAAAATGAGGTTCTGGAATATGCACTTCAACAAATAAATTATTTTCAAATAAAACACTGAAACTCAAAACAATGGTCGCCATATTTGTTGTTCATACTCGCAAGGCTTGTAAAGTTAGCCACCAGAGGCCGCACACTTCGTGATTTTCGCGAATTTGGAAATACACCTAATTGACGAAAAATGTGCCTGCATGATTATGGGAAATAATTCAATGTTTGATTGTATTATTATTAATACTCATATTTCTCTCATTTCATTGTCAAAGTTACCTATTTTCTCCAATGAACATATAGGGGTAGGTAATTATAATAATCAGGGTCAATCTCAGTTTAAAATATACACACAAAAACTGAGTTCGATTTTGATCATATTTTGATGTTATAAATCTAGTGGAATCCGCAAAAATTTGGAACTACGTCAACTTACTTGCATATCCGCAAAAAATTGGCGGTTAAATCTCAGTTTCAAGTCATCCAATAGAATTGCTAGAATTGTGACTGAAAATCCGCTTCGTATTTTCCACACAGTGGAAACCCGCCGTTACACCTCCAGATCAAGTGTTAAGCTTGGTTTTCATGACAACGTTTTGCGTCATGCGTCTTGCGTTGCCTCGTTCTGATTGGCTATTTTGACTAACGCAATATTCCGTAGGAATGAAGTTGAAAATATTTAACTTCTGTGCGTCGAACGCAAAAAAGCGAGAAATGTGGGATAGAGAACCTGTACTCTTGTGTTTTAGGTTTTTCCAATCACCCAAAACAGGAAACGCACAGATTTAAGAAAACTTGAATTCAATGAAATTCATTCTATTCACAGTGTAAAAAGTAAGTGACTACTATAGAATTCCATTGTATGTACCTATATTAAAATCAGGGAATATTAGTCAACCAAAATACTATAGATTTTTTTTTAACAAAAACTAATGTATACTGTTTTTAGTTTTATATGTGAGGAATGCAGGGAGCCCTTAACAGAGGAAGAAATTTATGTACAGGGTGATTCACCATGAATGTCCCCCCCTCTAGCTCACTTATTCATGAACCGATTTGAAAATGTGAAGAATAATCTAAAATGATTTTTCAGAAATTTTTTTGTCCGTTGCATCAGAAAATACAGGGTGCTCGGAACAAACGATCTACAGAGTACTACTTGATTTTTTCAAATTGAACACCCTGTATTTCATTGTATTTTTAGAATCTTCTTGAAGGGCTGATTTTATCAATACATCACACTTGAGGTCTAGCGGGAATGATTACAGAGATATAGGGGGTTCAAAATCTAGATTTTTCAACTTTAGTATTTTTTTGTGTTAAAACTATTCATTATTGGTCAAAACGGCTTCTATGTCCCTATCTCAACTTTTGATTTACTATCTACTGACATTTAATTGAAACATTTACAGGGTGGTTCAAGATTCAGAATTATGATCACCCTGTATCTGTTTCAATTATTAAATGTCAGTAGATAGTAAATCGAAAGTTGAGATACGGACGTGAAAGCCGTTTTGAGCGATGATGAATAGTTTCGTCACAAAAAAATATCTCGATTTTGAACACCCTATATCTCTGTAATCATTCCCGCTAGACCCCAAGTGTGCTACATTGATCAAATCAGCTCTTCAGGAAGAATCTAAAAATACAATGAAAAATAGGGTGTTCCATTTAAAAAAATCAAATAGTACCCTGTGGATCCTTTGTTCCGAGCACCCTGTATTTTCTGATGTAGCGGAGAAAAACTTTATCGAAAATCATTTAAGATAATATTTCAAATTTTGAAATCGTTCAAAAATAACTGAGCTAGAGGGTGGAACATTTATGGTGAATCACCCTATACATGAATGCTTCCAGGGCCATGGAATACAAAAGTGTTGATTCAGATAATTTTATGGAACCGATTCAATCAATAGAACAGAATCACGAATAAAATTAGTAATTTCCTCCTTCGCCAATTTTGTTCATCCATTTCATATATGAAAAATAAATATTTTAACACTGCAGGGGTCAAATTATTATTACTATTGGCAATAATTAATTATTGAAAACCTATAATAAATTTTAAATATTTGATTCAAAATGGATTCAAATTCAACCTGTCAAAATCTGGAAGCGGACGCATGTATGAAAATTATAACAAATTTCATTGAATTTGCGTCATTTGAATTAGCCAATCAGAACGATGCAACGCACGACGCAAAACGTTGTCATGAAAACAAAGCTTAAAACTCTGTTTTGGCGGTAATTTATACACTTTGACAACGAACAGAGTGTGAGGCTACACCGTATAACTATGCGTATAACACCGAAGGGTATCAGTGCTACACAATGTACTCTGGTGTATAAATTTTGTGGTTATGGAGGCACAGCGAACAGACCAACTGCGATCATCGTGATCATAGGTTCAGTCACAGATTAACAAACCTTCAGTGGACCAATTAGAAAGAACATTTGACAAGTGATTTGAAATGATGTGTGAAAGACATGATGAAAATAGATCCACCTTTTGTGAAAGACACTGTGGTGACAGTTTTTACGGAATCGACAGAATCGACTTTGGAGTATCGGAGTTCGGAGTTTGGAGTTTGGTTTGACGTGTTTGAACTGAAGTTGGCATATTTGGAATGGAATTTTTTTATAATTACCTGTTTAATTTTTTTGTATTGGTCTTTCAATCATAATTCAAATATGTATACAATATTGAAAATGATGACGTGAAATTCAATATATTCCTATAAAGTTATAAATAAAATAATCATAAAATGACCCAGAGAGTTCTTTGTTGACAATAATGACAAACAAAATATGACATCATCAACCCATGAATTCATACAAAAACAAGGATGCATCATCGCGCTTTCGTAGAAGTAGGATAAGGACAAGAGACGTCCGCCGCCAGTCATGCGCATCGCGCAAAATCGTCTCTCCTTTTGATTTGTTTATCTTTCGCTTCGTCAGTTTGTCAGACGAAGAGGAATCGCGATTTAACGAAATACAACAAAGTAGTGACAAATCGAAGTGGAGAAACAAGTGCACCGCAACCAGCAAGAAAACCTGCTGAATGTTTTGTTGTCTGTCCGATCAAGAGGACTACGGAAAAGGTACGTTTTTCAGGGCGTGTGATCGTTATCTCGACATTTATCCCCGCTCCCCCGTTCTTCGCTCCCGAATGTCCGCCATCTTAGTTGGCAGTTGAATAGGCGTCAACTGTGTGTGTGTGTTTTGGCAGGTCCGATGGCCGCCATAAGAAAAAAACTGGTGATCGTCGGCGACGGGGCATGTGGCAAAACTTGCCTGCTCATCGTCTTCAGCAAGGACCAGTTCCCCGAAGTGTACGTGCCCACGGTATTCGAGAACTATGTGGCCGACATCGAGGTGGATGGCAAGCAAGTGGAGCTCGCCCTGTGGGATACGGCGGGCCAGGAGGACTACGACCGCCTGCGGCCCCTTTCGTACCCCGACACTGACGTCATCCTCATGTGCTTCTCGGTGGACTCGCCCGATTCCTTGGAAAACATCCCAGAGAAGTGGACGCCTGAAGTGAAACACTTCTGTCCCAATGTGCCTATTATCCTGGTGGGCAACAAAAAGGACCTCAGGAACGATCCGGCTACCATAAACGAACTGAAAAAGATGAAGCAGGAGCCTGTTAAGCCTCAAGATGGCAGGTCCATGGCCGAAAAGATCAATGCCTTTGCTTATCTGGAGTGCTCTGCCAAGAGCAAGGAGGGTGTGAGAGAGGTGTTTGAGAATGCAACTCGTGCTGCTCTGCAGGTCAAAAAGAAGAAGAAGCATCGTTGTGTAATGTTCTGAGCTCCCCTACATAAATTTTATATTCTTAATCGTTATGTGTGTTTAATGAGTTCAAGGGGGCTTCTGCATTATGTATCAACTAACAAATAAACCCCTCATTTATCTATTTGGTTCTGTTTTGTTTGAAAACCTTCTCCTGCCTGTGGACTAGATTATCATTGCTTTGGTTATTTTGTGTTCCTGTTTGGTTTTATCTTGCAGGCAGCCTCAACTCCAGTTTTTGTGATAGTTCTTTCAGTTTTGATGATATGTAGTAGTGGAATTTGTATGTGGAAGCTCTACTTTTTGAAACTTCTTTGACATCTCTGCATTTTACCAATTTCAGGTTGTTTCTATCCCTATTTTCAATATTCAACACAATATTTACTAACCCAGAAAGTAGAGTAAGTAGTCCTATTTTTCTGAATATGTGCTTGTTGTTTTTATTGGTTTATTGGTTTTGTATATTTTTGTCAGACAAAAGAATTGATTTCTTAACCCTGCATGTTTGATATTTCCTTCCTGAATTCATGTATGATCATTAGCTGTTCTTGAAGCATGATTTGTTGAGGATATTTTGCATTATTCAAAAATCATAATTTGAACAATTGGCAAATAATACCAAAGTATTCAGATGTTCAGTGATCATGAAATATTTTCCATAACTACACAAAAACTCAACACATTGAATAATGGGACTACTTTGAAAGTCTTGTTTACTTCCATATTATTGTTTCTACTAAAGTTCACTTTTATTCTTCAATTGTCCTCAATTATTTCAGATTCTGTTGAAGATCATAAAATCCAGTATTTTTAAAAATTGCCTGATTCCATAAAAAATTATATCCAATTGGAAAGATGTTGCTGTACTCTTCAGAAAAAATAAAATCTGAAAAATACAGTGAAGACCAATAAATATTTGTGTTGACATCTTTGTGAAAAGTGTGAACATTCACTTCTGACCAATTATGTAACTTAAACAGAGAACTTAGTTCAAAACTCAGATTCTTTAATTATATAGAAATTTAACTCTTATGACTTGTTATCGAATCATATAAGTGCCATGAAAATTTTGAGCTGTAGTTTTTCTGCTAGATACAAATTAGACAGGAATTTTTTTGAGTTGCAAGCAGAGGCAAAATTTATCAAATACAAAATGAATGTCCTGTACACAAAATTTGTTGAACGTCCACTTAGTTCATTATCATAGTAATATTCATATGTAGTATTTACATTTATAGTTTAATGGAGATGTATTTTCAGATATTTTCCAACTAATGGTGCATTATTAATGTCTGGACTTTACTCTCTTTGGGTATAGTCTGGACAGATTTTTAAATTTTAAGAATTATATTGTTTGATTTAGTGAATACTTTTCAGAAAGGAATAATTTTATTTTCAGGCAACTGTTATAGTATTATAGTTCGCTGGTTGCCTTTTGATTGTAATAGCTTTAAATTTTTTCCATATGATGTATTCTGAAGTAAATAAAATTGTTTTCCTATAATCTGTGCAGTGAGTTTTGAAACAGGAATGTCAACATCAAGGTGTGAAATCATTACATGGGTACAGAATCCAAATGAATCATCACTTGACTTAATATCAACTGGGAGGGGGAAAGGCATTGAGAAGTTGAAATATTTGAGTTGATGACTGCATAGCACTGCATACCTACTGGCCAATTCATCTCGGATGAATGGCAAGTTTCAAGGTCAAGGAAGAAAGAACTGAACATTGATTTTACTATGCTGGAGCTCCATACTTTTATCACAGTACAGTGTCATTCATAAAGTTGGCATCATATAGAAAAAAGTTATATAACTCAATAAAAAATTATTTTGAAAAAAAAATTACATTTATTCAAATTAATCACTGAAAATCAATGATTGCTGAAAATAGGCTCATTGGTGTAGGAATTTCAAAAACTTTTACTGAGAAAAGTTGTTTCTATTCCAATTTTATACATGTGTGTGTGAATTTGAACATTCTATTAGTTCTTGAAATGTTTTAATTTCTTCTTATTGTTAACTGTCCAAAACTTTGATAGGTATGTAAAGTAGTTTGATGATATTTTGATAGATGACTTTGGCATCATTTTAGTACTGAAGAAGCAATTTAAATAAATTTCACGTTTGAATGATAGACAATGGGCTCTCACCCAAACTAGCTCACCACCGCAAACCGTTTCTTGCTGTGAGCTCCCTACGTTTTATAAAAAAATATTGAAATCCCCGATTTTTCGGACCTCTGAAAACGAGGCGATGATGTGACGTCAAAACCCTAATACTGAAACAAGACTATTCCAGACAGAGATGAATGATACATGATTTCTGACAGAGTGAATTAGCGCCAGATCACAGTTGAAAGAATAAATATACCATTTGCCTCAGTCTCCGTCGGGCGTTTGGTATTTTCTTTTAACTATGGCGAGATGAGGTTTCTATGTCATAAGAGGGTCCGTTTTCAGGAGGTACTATTATTTATGTCCAAAAATAAAACATTCCAGATAATTTTTCGATCGAATTATGTCATCAATCATTATTTATGTGTATCATTATAAACATGGTTTCAGTTGAAAGTTCTAGTAGGGTGTACACGCCCATTCATTGACTTTGCATCAAACTTGACAGGAATTTGAAGTGGGATTATTATTTTCTGAAGAAAATCATATCTTCATCAATAATAATTATTGAAATAAATAGTTTCGTCGGTGTTCATTTGTAATATCACAAACATTTCCTAGAAATTGAAGTTTTTTCCATATGTTGCCGTCTTTATGAATGACACTGTATATTATCATGTAATAAAATACTGCAGTGGTTTTACTTATATTTGCAGTGATAGTGATGACATTTTTGTAGGTTCTCTTTGGGCCTCCTAGAAGGGGAAATGTTTTTGTATGTATACAGGGTGATCAATTATGAATGAATTGTACACAAAGCAATGGTACATGGTTTTTATAAGTGAAGGGTGTAGAAACCATGTAGAACCCTGATATCAAAATATGACAATAATTATAATTGGATTAATTGGCCTACAATTTACAAGGTGGTAAAGTTGAAATATATTGATATATAATTTTGATACAAAATGAATGAATATCTGTGGAGTATATTTTTTACAAGGCCTGTTCAATTGTTAATGTCATTCAATTTCATAATAAGGAATGATTAAGATGTGTACTTGAAAAAAATGACCAATTGGATCTCAGAATCATAATGGATTAATGGTGAAGACTGAAATATTTAGGTAAGTTTCTGTGATATTGGCAGACTCGTAATTTCCATAGGAAAAAATTGAGGTTCTCATTTTCTGCAGTTCTGAAAATGATTATAGGACCAATAGTTATAAAATCTGCCAAGTTTGAATCTCATTTGTCACTATTGTTATTTTGCCAGAATGTGAAAGTGAACAGAAAGAGTGAGTGAGCCGTCATTTGATATCAAAATGTTCCAAAGGCATATGAAACATGCAAAATTATTGAAAAATGGCCCTTTCCTGTGCGTTATTTTGGCTCTGGTAAATAGGAGGAAGGGTAAAAATAAATGGAAATTAATATATTTTTTTCGTGTATTCATACAATACATTAATTATGACTGGTTATTACAAAAGTATGATATGGGGACAAAATATCAAATGTGAATTTTCTGATATGATACACTTAAACATCTATAGAAATTATATTTTCGATAAAATAACTTGATAAGTTCATTATATTAGTACTATAATAATATTATTGATATGGATAAAATACTTACATTAAAAAAGTAGTATCTTGAAATATACCAAAAATATTTATACAAAATGGTTATTGGTAACTAATTACAAAATATATTCCATACAAAAACAAATTGCCTATACAAAAAAATGTGCTTCGTATTTGGTGGTTTTTGTTCATGAACATTTGGATTGTCTAAAAATAAAGTATAAAATAGGAAGAATTGAGATATCCTACACATACAGGGTGTCCCGAAATTACATAGGAAGGTTTCAACCATAGATTCCAGGAATAAAAATTGTGAAAAAAGTTTAAAAATGAATGGCCTCTAAAGGGGAGCACGAGATGATGAAATTACCAAATTTTGCACATATATCCAACTTTTTTGGACCCATTCGGAAGTGTTGAGGAATTTCCGAAATTTTAATCAGGAGTGTCGGAAATAGGTGGGGGCCAGGTGCTCTATTTCTCCCAACTTTTTGGTTTATGCAATTTTCGGCACTGACCAGCAAATAAATAAATCTCAACATTTTTACTCAAAAATGGTACTCTTGTTCCTGTTTTGATAGCATTCACCATTTTGGAGCTAAATGGATTCAAAAATTCTGCTGCACAATGAATATCGTGATTTTTTTTCAACTATTTTTGTTCCCAGAATCTGTGGTTGAAATCTTTCCATATAATTTCCGGACACCTTGTGTATACTGTGTGGTAAGTACCTTTTTCATGTTCACCAACAAATCTCTAGTTGCGAATTAAAACAGCCTTATTTATTACTAAGTCTATATGTTATTTTTTCATTTACCACTACTTTTGTTGAATAAATGATCATTTTTATGAGTGAATCGCAGGGTGTTCAATTGCATTAATTTCGATTTATTTGAAGAGATCACCCTGTGTGAGTGGTCCTTAAAGCTAAATAGCCTTTTTTGGCAGTAAAATTATATGGCTGATTATATGACAAATCAACCCTAAAAAAGAACCAACTTGTGATGTCCGATTCTCTGATACATATGTGACCATGTGAGTCACCCACGTAGAGATTAAAAAAATAAAACCTAATAAATAATAGCAGTGAATATCACAGAAGATATGTAATGAGTAAAAAGTTATACGAAATTAATAAAATTAGAAATTTTGGTGGGTGATTCATGATAATTTGGCATCAGTAGTAACCCTGTTATTAGTCAATTTCACACGCGAGGTTCGATGGAAATAAATCTTGGTCTCCTAGTATTTTTGATTTTCCCCCACTAACGAAAATTCTGAACAATTCTTGGAACGAAATTTGTTCGTTTCTGCGTTCTGTGATCACGACCAGAAGCTTTTCCTTATCGTATAAATTGTTCTATGAACACAAAACAGTGAGATTCTACGAAAACTAGTCAAAAACAATTGCTCTTCTCAGGGTTACAAAAAAAAACTCGACGATTTGAACGTATGCGTTGGCAGTACAGCTTCCATTTAAAAACCCTTATTGCTGGAAAAAGGTGAAGTGCAATTGTTAGGGCGGCACGTAAGGGGGCGGTTTCCTATATGTAGGGGTGGGCTTTGGTCTGGGCTGTCTTCCGTTGTCCTGGGTGCGAGTAAAAGGCGGAGGCGGCTGATAGGGCTCCGAGTCGTCGCTCAGTTTGACGGAGCCGCTCTTGCTGTACTCTGGCGGTGCCAGCGGCGGCTTTTCGTCCTTGAGGATCACGGGAGCTTTCGTGCCTGGTTCTGGCTTCTCTTCCAGTTCCTCTTGGAATATTACCGGTATACCTGAACAATCACAGAACATGAAGACAATGAACTCAATGTAAACAACTGGAAGGGACCCTTTGTGGACGACGAGTGACATAAGATAGAAAGAGATAGGTATCCGTAAACACTGCTTGTTGCCTGAACAATATTTTTGCCTCACTTGTCGTTCACAGAGGGTCCCTTCCAGTTGTTTATGTTGAGTTCATTGCATGAAGATCACATCAACAGGTGTACACTTGTTGCTCACCTTTGTTACCGTAGCTCTGTCTCCCGTCTTCTTCCACGTTCATTTTGCCCATGCGTCTTCTTCTGTACATTATGATGGCAGCCACGGCTGCCAAGACAAGCATGATGGCGATGATAACAGCCGGTACTATGAAGGTAATGAGGTACTCGTCGTTGCTCGATCGGGGTGTCGTTTCTTCGATCGGCACACCTTCTTCGGGTCTGCTATCTTTCGGTTTCTTTGGCCTGCAGCTGCCCATCAAGTTCACTTTTATGGTGGACACGCGGAATTCCGGTTCCATGATGGCGTGGACCCTGTGCGAGATCGATCTAAAATATAAGAATATGTCACGAGAGGATCACACCAGTATCATGAACGGCTCCTTCCTTACCTGTCATTCAAGTTGTGTACGATACTTTCAAGCCGCTTGATTTCTTCGAAAGGGCACCTGTGCACTGGGAGAGATTTGTTGAACCACGTGACGATTGTGGAATCTTCGCTTTTCCTGAACGGCGGAAAATGGAAGTTTGACGGAGTCGCTTCTCCAAATAAGAGCTAAACAGAAAATGTCAATGTCGTTTGTCACCTTTATCGTGTTCTGTGCTTACCATCAATTTGTCGACCATCTTTTTCTGCAACACCGCATTGTTCACGAACATCTCGTGCGTAATGTACTCGTCCGATTGGATGTTGACGTTCATGCTGAATTCGACGTTGTAAGCCTTTTTGTCTGGCGGTGTGACTACCACTTCCAAGCTGTCCGTTACCGGTAGGCCTCCGCTGTCAGTGCACACCAAGTGGTATTCGGTGGTGCCGTCTTTGCGAGGTATGCCGAAAAATTCGCGGTTTTTGTTGTCGAACTGCAGCCAGTTGTGCGAGGGTAGAGGTTGCCTGTCTTTGGTGAGCAGCGATATGTTCAGCATTCTAGGGTCGACGTCTTCTGGGTCATAGAAAGTGTCCTACGAATGTGGAAAAAGTTATAGCTGTATTCCACTGGAATGAAATGGTGTTGTTGTTAACAGGTCAGTGGAACTGGTGGGGTGTTTCTGCACTCAAAGTATACGTTTCCTTCCTACTTATTTCTAAATTGACAAAACAACACTGCGTTCAGTGGATCGTGGCAGGAGTGGGCAGAATATATGGGTTGCTATGGCTATATTGGTCAAAAACTGACGAAACTCATAAGGTCGTTCATAGAAAATCCAATAATCATTTATACTAACGACAAGAAATGCAGAAATGGTGTAAGTAGGTTCATTTTTAGGAATGCGTAGGAGAGCCACATCTGTCAACTAGCCTATTTGGTAGATACTAAGTGGTAAGTAGCATACTTGACAGATATACTAAGTGTTAACAAGTATACTAGACAGATACTTGAGTGTCAACTAGCCTAATTGACAGATACTAAGTGGTAAGTAGCATACTTAACAGATACTTGAGTGGCAACTAGCATAATTGACAGATACTAATAAGTGGTAACTAGCCTACTTGACAGATGAATAGTAAATATTTGATCACACAACAAATAATAACTTTAGTATTGAGACTTATTATTAATTAGGCATTCCAGAACACGTGACTTTTGACATATTTCTAATGGCCGCCTGTAGGCACACAAATATTTTTTGTCGATTTACGTAGCAGCGGTGTAATCTTGGGTAGATATATCAAATAATGATAATGGCTGTTTTGAATAAAAGTGGATATTTATAATCCTTGGATCACTATAACAAAGATATTGCGACACGAAAGTATGTGTGCCTACAGTCGGCCATATTGATTTAGATGATTTGACAGCATCTTGGATAGGTCAATCGCCTCACCAGCTCACCATACCACCGGAGACCGGACTTTGATGGAAATTTGAAGATCTTCCCTTCTTCTTCTTCGTCTTTGTTTCTTGGCGATGGCGAGTTTCTTGGCCTATCTGTCAATTATGCTAGTTGACACATCTCAGTTGACACTTGAGTACCTGTCAAGTATACTAGTTACCACTGAGTATCTGTCAAGTAGGCTAGACATCATTTAGTATCTGTCAATTATGCTAGTTGACACTTGAGTATCTGTCAAGTATACTAGTTACCACTTACTATCTGTCAAGTAGGCTACTTACCACTTAGTATCTGTCAATTATGCTAGTTGACACTTAGTATCTGTCACGTAGACTACTTACCACTTAGTATTTGTCAATTAGGCTAGTTGTGTATAATAATATATCATTTGGCACTTCTACGCTTTCGTACATTTTTGATAGTGTTGAATAAAAGAGTTTCTATTCCCATTTTAAAAAGAAATCGTACAGCGACATCTATCAGAATAATATGTTACACTGTTTATTGCCGTCATGTTTGGGCAAAACGAAAGCGCATCAGTTCAAACACCATATTCTTATACCTATCGCGATTAACTTGTTATTGTTCTGTGGTAAGTCCGCATGTTTTATGGGTGTTGACTACTTTTGTGTTCCATGCTGTGGAATTGTTTGAATTTGAAAGTTCTAGGAGGGAATCCATTTTGATGTGAATAAATAGTGTGTTTACAAGCAAAATATGTTGCAAATGCAAAATGCAATGCAGTTGCTGATAAAGATTGTGTCGCAATTACTTACATCTCTGACTTTGAAAACTAGCAATTCTCCTACAGTGGCATTGACTGTATCGATGGGGTTCCTGAGAATCGGTGAGAAGTTTACAGGTGGTGTTACTGGTGTCATGGGTTGCTCGCAGACTCCTATTTCTCGGTAAGTCACCTTTTTCACTCTTAATTCTGGGGCCAGGGCCATGTTCAGTTCCTTGGAAGGGTCTCCCATATCATTGGCTGTCAAAGTCTACGGAAAAAATCCAAATATAATCTCTAATCCAAAAGTTCCCGTAGGTACTGGAAAGTGTATAGGCTGCCGACCAGTCGGCACTCTATACTTTTTCTCTAGACTGCCGACCATTTAGTGGAATACAATCTTTCTGTATAAAATCGATCGGCAACCCAAAAAAAAGTATGGTAATTTTGCACTCATCATGCAATGGGTTTTTTTTCGAAGTTTTTTTTTGGTACTTACGTATTTTTGTCTGAAAAACACGAATTTGATGATGAAAATGTGAACAAACCACTAACAATTTCGCCTTCTACCCATGATGTACTTCAATGACACATTTTTATATGGAATATTCAACAGGAAATACGATTTTTATGGCGAGTTTTACATATTTAGTGACCATTAATACCAGATGACGGCCATTTAATAATTGCATTACACACGCCATTATTTTAAATGATATTCTTCCTTCTTTTCACTAAATATTGATAAATCACTAGAAAATCATATTTCTAGTTGACTCATATAATAGAAAAACATCTGTCGTACTATGTGATATATACAGGGTGATCCATGGTGGATGGCCTATTAGAAGTATCTGGAGAACGGAAAGACAAAACATTCTGAAAAATTGGGATGCTTTGATAATTGAACATCCTCTATCCGTCTAAAATATTTTCATCGATACAGTGTTGCCACTTCTATCAGAAACATATTGCATTTTTAGATTCTTCCTGAAGAGCTGATTTCATCAATGTATCACTTGGGGTCTAGCAGGAATGATTACAGAGATATAGGGTGTTCAAAATCGAGATATTTCAATTTTAGTAATTTTTTGTGAAACTATTCATTATCGATAAAACGGCTTACGTGTCCCTATCTTAACTTTTGATTCACTATCTACTGGAATTTAATTGGAAAAAATACAGGGTGCTTCAAGATTCAGAATTCTGATCAACCTGTATCTGTTCCAATTAAATGTCAGTAGATAGTGAATCAAAAGTTAAGATAGGGACATGTAAGCTGTTTTGATCGATAATGAATAGTTTCCACACAAAAAATCCTAAAATTGAAAAATCTCGATTTTGAACACCCTATATCTCTGTAATCATTCCCGCTAGACACAAGTGTGATACATTGATGAAATCAGCTCTTCAGGAAGAATCTAAAAATGCAATAAAAAACAGGGTGCTCCGTTTGAAATAACGAAGTTGCTAGTTGTTTCTGATAGAAGTGGCAACACTGTATCGATGAAAATATTTTAGACGGATAGAGAATGTTCAATCAAAGCATCCCAATTTTCAGGCCATCCACCGTGAATCACCCTATATAAATTGTTCAATGATGAAAAAGGAAGGACAAATTGGGTAATTTTGCACTTATCATGCGATGGGTTTTTTTTCGAAAATGTTTTTTGGTACTCACGTATTTTTGTCTGAAAAACACGAATTTGATAATGAAAATGTGAACAAACCACTATTTATCGAGATATTTCAAGAAAAAGTTCGAAATTTTGCCTTCTTTTCCCCCTTGTGTTGGATGCATTTACAGGTACTTGCTCTTATTATTTTGTCATTGGACACTTTATATACTCATGATGTACTTCACTGACACATTTTAAGATATAAAATTCAACAGGAAATATGATTTTTATGGCGAGTTTTTCCTATTTAGTGAGCAAGCATACCAGATGACGGCCATTTTGATCCATATGCAATCCAAATACGAGATGTCAAATGTCAATACATTGCTTTGGAATGACATTACACACGCCATTATTTCAAATGATATTCTTACTTCTTTTCACTAAACATGGATAAATCACAAGAAAATCATATTTCTAGTTGACTCATGATAAATAAAAATGTGTCCAACCTTGTGTGATATATATAAATTGTCCAATGATGGAAAAAGAAGGGCAAATTGCTCTAAATGTGATCCAGAAGACAGGCGGAAAAGATGGTGAAATTTGTAACTTTATAGTGAAATATCTTAATAAATAATGGTTTGTTCACATTTTCATTATCAAATTCGTGTTTTTCAGACAAAAATACGTAAGTACCAAAAAAATTTTCGAAAAAAAACTCATCGCATGATAAGTGCAAAATTACCACAAATTGTTCTAAATCCAGAAGACAGACGGAAAAGAAGGTGAAATTTGTAACTTCATAGTGAAATATCTTGATAAATATTGGTTTGTTCACATTTTCATTATCAAATTCGTGATTTTCAGACAAAAATACGTAAGTACCAAAAAGAATTTTCAAAAAAAAAACCATCGCATGATAAATGCAGTTTTACCAAAGTGTAGATTGCCGACTGGCCGGCCGTCTATACACTTCCTAGGTAATGAAGATACCTCGGAAGTCTAATGTATGTACGCTGGAAGATACTAACCTTGAATAGATCCTCTATGTCAGTTTTTGGGCAGAAATTCGTTGGTACGGATATGGAATCATTGCTCCAAGTGAATATGGCTAGCTCACTGGTGAAATTGATCCTCCTCACAGTGATCTCTGACATATTAGTGTTGTAAATCTTGCCGAGTGCTCTCAAAACTTTCAAAGACCAATCGACGTAGTGCGGGAACTCCTGCTGCTTCTGTGTCAATCAATTTCAAAATGTCAGATGGATGTTGTTAAAATATAGGAAACTGAATTTGATACCTCGATTCTGATGTGTAGGCTGAACTCGTGGTTGACGACTAGGTCTAGTTTGTGCTGTTGAACCTGGATGTTGAGCTTGTCTTTGGCAGAGCCACCATCACCGTCTGTCGCTTGTACCCAGAACACCCATTTGGAGATGTCTTCTTCAAGGGGTCTAGGAAAATATATCGTTTTTATCCTCAATAGGCTCAAAACTCAAAATTCAAAATATAAGGTCGAAAACTTTCAATCCAAAAAAAATTTACTCACGCTGCTCTAGCTGAATTTAATAAATTACCACATAATATAAAAAATCGCAGACATATTTCAAAATTTAAAATTGAATTAAAAAAACACATGATTTCATTACGAAATGGATAAAATTTATACTTTGCCATCTACTGATTAGTCCCTGTGGCTATTTTTATGACTTGATTGATTTAGCATTTTCAGATTTTTCAGATTTTTTTGTTGTTGTTGTTGTCACCTTATATTATTTTATTATTGTCGTTTGTAATCAACTTCCTCATACCAGAATTCTATTTTTGACTGGAAGCTAGTTTTTCAATAAACAATAAAACAATAAACAATAATCCTGTGCAATAGAAGGTGTCCGGAAATTATGCGCAAAAAATCAAGGGGTTGATACTGCATGAGAAAACATGAAATTCATTTCATATACAGGGTGATCCACGCTGGATGGCCTATTAGAAAAATTGAGAAGCTTTGATAATAATTGAACATTCTATATCCGTCTGAAATATTTTCATCGATACAGTGTTGTCATTTCTATCAGAAACAAATAGCAACTTCGTTACTTTAAATGGAGCGCCCTGTATTTTATTGCGTTTTTAGATTCTTCCTGAAAAGCTAATTTCATCAATGCATCAGCCTTGGGGTCTAGCAGTAATGATTACAGAGATATTGGGTGTTCAAAATCGAGATTTTCCAATTTCAGGAATTTTTTGTGTCGAAACTATTCATTATCGATCAAAACGGCTTACATGTTCCAATCTTAACTTTGGATTCACTTTCTACTGACATTTAATTGGAACAGATACAGGGTGAACAGAATTCTGAATCTTGAAGCACCCTGCATTTTTTCCAATCAAATTCTAGTTGATAGTGAATCAAGAGTTGAGATAAGGATATGTAAGCCGTTTTGATCGATAATGAATAGTTTCGACACAAAAAAATCCTAAAATTGAAAAATCTCGATTTTGAACACCCTATATCTCTGTAATCATTCCTGCTAGACCCCAAGTGTGATACATTGATGGAATCAGCTCTCCAAGAAGAATTTGAAATAACAAAGTTGATAGTTGATTCTGATAGAAGTGGCAACACTGTATCGATGAAAATATTTTAGACGGATAGAGAATGTTCAATTATCAAAGCATCCAAATTTTCAGAATGTTCTGTATTTTCGTTCTACAGATACTCCTAATAGGCCATCCACCGTGGATCACCCTGTATACGTGGGTCCGGAAATGCATAGTTTTCAAGAAGAAGTGTGTTGAACTTCTTAGAAAAAGTCGGTTTTTTATGATTATCTCAAATATCCATCGATTCTCTTGAAATTTGGCAATGATATTCTTTGTCGTGAGGGGCTGATTTGACGATAATTAAATTGGAATTGTGAAATCCAGTGGCGTCCCGGGCGCACCCTACCGAATATTATTGTCAATAAAATGTGCCCCACTGATTTTTCAAAATTTCATATCTTCATATCCTAATGATTAACTAAAAATACAACATTTTGGTCTCTTGAATTGTTTTGCTATTTTGCTACGTTTCCGTGAAAAAAAAAAACAATTCATTGTATACATTTGTGCAAAACATTGCTTCAAAAACATGGGTCAAATTAAATGTGTGATCCATGTCCATAGACGTAGAATAAGAATGAAGATTAATTTTCTTCAAATATGTTATAATACATGTTTGACACACTTTGTATTATCGAAAACTACACTGTATTGACAAATATTTGAAACAAATGAATCTTCATACTTATTCTTTATCTATAGACATTGATCACGCATTTATTTTCACCCTAGTTTTTGAAGGAATTTTTTGGCACAAAATTATGCATTGAATTGGTATTTATTTGTTTTCATGGAAATGAAGGAAAATATCAAAACAATTCAAGAGACCTAAATGTTATATTTTCAGTTGGTCAATGGGTTATGAAGATACAAAATTCAAAAAAATCAGTGGCGCACATTTTATTGACAATAATATTCGGTAAATTGCCCCCCGGGACGCCACTGGACTTCATAATTCTAATTGAATTATGTCTATATCAGCCCCTCATGACAAAAAATATCATTGCCAAATTCCAAGAAAATCGGTGGAAGGACATTTGAGATATTCATAAAAAAAACGATCTTTTTCAACACACTGTATGTTGAAAACTATGCATTTCCGGACCCACGTACATATAAAATGAATTTCTTATTTTATCATGTAGAATCACCCCCTTGATTTTCTGCGCATAATTTCCGAACACCCAGTATATTTCGAGGGAGAATTTTTGAGGTCAAAATAAGTTTTTTTTGGAAAAATGTTGGTTCAAACGATGGTTCAGGAGTTCACAATGAAACATTATACACTGTTGCCGTTCTATTATGATTTTGGGAGTGTTGAGTAGTTCGTTTTTTATGGCAATATACATAATATTATACAGTGTCATTCATAAAGTCGGCATCATATGGGAGAAACTTTTATTAATGACTTATTTTGGAATTCGAGTTGGACGTTAAGTTTTGCTTCAAAAAATATGAAAAATGGCCTACTCAATCAGGGTCACGTGACTTTCGTTACATGTTAAAAGTGACATTTTTTCAAATTAATCACTGAAAGTAGGCTTATTTGTTCGAATATCGAAAAAGTTAACTTGAAAAAGTTGTTTCTATTTCAATTTTACACATGCTTCTCGAATTTGATCTTTCTATTGCAACTTTTAGATTTTGATTTTTTTTTAATTTTTCGAAATTTATGTAATATTTGGAGAATTGTTGATTCCACGAAACTACTTCATACCAGTAGCTTTTTCATGCTACTCACTTTCAATTACTTATTATCACTGATTATGGACAGAAATATGATTTTCTTCAGAAAATGATAATACCAGCTTCCAAATTCTGTTATGTTTGATGCAAAGTTGATATATCGTCAAGCATTTAGAAACGAAATTTATTTAAACTGATCTTTTCAGTACTGAAAAAATAAATTAAAATGAATTTAGTTTCTAAATGCATGACTCAAACATAACAGAATTTTGATGTTATGTTGGCATCAAACATAACAGAATTTTGAAGCGGAGATTATCATTTTCTGAAGAAAATCATATTTTTGACGATAATTAGTGATAATTAGTAATTGAAAGTTAGTAGCATGATGAAACTACTGGTATGAAGTAGTTGTATCGAATTAACAATTTTTTTAATATTACAGAAATTTCGAAAATTTTAAAAAAATATTGAAATCTAAAAAATGTAATAGAAAGATAAAATCCGAGTCACATATGTAAAATTCAAATAGAAACAACTTTTTCAAGTGAACTTTTTCGATATTCGAACAAATAAGACGACTTTCAGCGATTAATTTGAAAAAATGTCACTTTTGACATGTAGCGAAAGTCACGTAACCCCGTTTGAGTAGGCCATTTTTTATCTTTTTTGAAGCAAAACTTAACGTCCAACTCGAATTTCAAAATAAGTCATTAATAAAAGTTTTTCCCATATGATGCCGACTTTATGAATGACACTGTAGATACTCACAAACCATAAATTTCTCTTCTGGTAGGATTGAAGGTCAACCAAGTGTTGTTGGTGACTGTCCTTTCGTTCGCGTCCAGTATCTGATAGGTCATGGCGTATTCGTCTTCGAAATCGCTGAAAGTGTCTGGGGGAATGACGAATCTGAAGACTTTGCCTGCCGTCACGGACATCTGTTTCAGCCTGTTCAACACTATGGGGTCGAAATTGTCGTGGTACTCGACTTGCTCGGTGGTGGTGGTGGTGGTAGTTGTGGTGGTGGTGCTCGGTTTTGTAGTAGGAGGGGTGGTTCGCATCTGGAAAATAGAGGAGGTATCGTTATCAGGGTGAAATACTTTGGCAGTAGATTTCACGACCAAGAATGAGAAAGAGTTGCTTTGCTATCTGAGGTAGCTGCAGATCTTTGAATTTGCACTCCTGAGAAACGGTTCAAGATAGAAAAATATATACGATTATTTTTGAAAGTTGGTCATGTGACGATGAGAATGGTATTTGAATTGAAAGCTCAAAATGGAGTAGTAGAAATTCATGAAGCTCCACAATATTTGATAATATTTATACAGAGTGGGCCTTTGAAAACGAAACAGAGGCTCTGTAGGTCGCCAAAACCGGATTATCAAAAAAAACTGAAACAGGTCAACTACATTTTCGAGGGGGACATCTTTCTAAAATATTTTCAGCCCTGCGGCGTTGCCGCTTCTAAAGAAAAGAAGCAACAACTTTGTTATTTCAAATGGAACACCTTGTATTTTATTGCATTTTTAGATTCTCCCCGAAGAGCTGATTTCATCAATGCATCACACTTAGGGTCTAGCTGTAATGGTTTCAGGGATATAAAGTGTTCAAAATCGAGATTTTTCAACTTTAACATTTTTTTGTGTCGAAACTATTCATTATTGGTCAAAACGGCTCTCATGTCCCGATCTCAACTTGTGATTTACTATCTACTGACATTTATTTGAAACAAATACAGGGTGGTTCAAGATTCAGAATTCTGATCACCCTGTATCTGTTCCAATTAAATGTCAGTAGATAGTAAATCACAAGTTGATATAGGGACATGAGAGCCGTTTCGACCAATAATGAATAGTTTCGACACAAAAAAATGTCTAAGTTGAAAAATCTCGATTTTGAACACTTTATATCCCTGAAACCATTACAGCTAGACCCCAAGTGTGATGCATTGATGAAATCAGCTCTTCGGGGAGAATCTAAAAATGCAATGAAATACAAGGTGTTCCATTTGAAATAACAAAGTTGTTGCTTCTTTTCGTTAGCAGCGGCAACGCCGCAGGGCTGAAAATATTGTAGGACGATGTCCCCCTCGAAAACGTAGTTGACGTGTTCCAGATTCTTTTCATAATCCGGTTTTGGCGACCTACAGAGCCTCTGTTTCGTTTTCAAAGGTCCACTCTGTATGTTAGGGTACATGTATTCGGACTCATGCGTTAAATACCCAAATATGGAGTCATACAGGGTGAGTCATGAGGAACTGTACATACTCCTATCACGAATAGAGGCCCCTGACGGGAATATCTGATGTCCATCAAAACTTCTCTTCTTTCCCAATATATAGGATGAATTATGAGATTTGGCAAAAACATCTTCTGGTCATAACTTTCCAGCAGCTTCTTCGATTTCTCTGATTTTTTTCATGGAATATTCCGCTACAACCCTCTAATCGACTGACTCATCAAGAAACCGGAAAATCCAGGACCGTTCTTGAAAAATTTTGATAGTTTGGTTTATAGCAAAAAGTTCATCCTGTATATCGTTTTTGTAAACTGTGACAGGGAATTTCCAGAGGTCACAAACAAACATCAAACATAAGATATTCCAAATTTTTCTCAGACTTTCACTGTAGTTTGAAAAAAAAACTATGAATTTTATGAAAAAACGAAAATTAGGCGAAAACTTTATTTATTTGGTAATTAATACTTCGCAACCCATAAATTTTACGGATAATAGTGAGACTTACAATTTCAATGCTTCAGCTCAATGGAAATCAACATATCATTTTATTTTCAGGCCTGGATTTAGTGATTCAGTTTTTTTTTGTGGAGGATTAATAATAATCACCCTGTAGATCTTTTTGAATCAGTGGATGGGGTATCTGAGAGTATGTTGATGACCATCGCTATAAATAATTTCATGATTTCAATGAACAGTTTTATCTATTTGATTTGTTTTATTCAGTTAATTTGGTCACTAATTTTCCGTACTAAGATTATAATCTGCCTTTCTCGGTATAGCTCTTGAAAAATAATTGTGAATAAACCTTTATTTTCTTTTCCACTATCTTGAACTATTTGAATCGATGACCATTCATCTAAACAGATATCCCATCCACTGATTTGAAAAAAAAAAGCCAAACCTGGAAATGAAAGAACATGTTGATTTCCATTGGCCTAAACTATCGAAAATGTGAGTCTTACTTTCATTTGTGAAAGTTATGCGTTGCGAAGTTCTTATTCTCGAATGAATGGTTGTCAAACTTTTGTTTTTGCCTATAATTTATCGTTTTTTGAAGAATTCTGTGAAAGTGTGAGGAGAATTTTGAATATTTTTTTCTTGATGCTTGTTTGTGTGCTTTGAAAATTCCCTGTCACAGTTTACAAAAACCATATACAGGATGAAATTTTTGATAAAAACTAAACTATCGAAATTTTTCGAAAACGGTCCTGGATTTTCCTGATTCTGAAAATGTCAGTCGATTAGGGTTCAGTTGAGGAATATTCCATGAAAAAATCAGAGGAATTGAAGGAGCTGTTGAAAAGTTATGCCGAAAAAATGTTTTTGCCAAATCTCATAATTCACCATATATATTGGTAAAAAAGAGAGGAAGACACTTTCTGATGGTCATTAGGTATTTCCCTCAAGGGCCTCTATTCGTGGTAGGAGTATGTACAGTTCCTCATGACTCACCCTGTATATCGTGTGTAAACTTTGGAAGAGAAGGTCTAATTTTCATATTAGATAGATGATCGATATATGAGTGTTAAGTTTTTTAAAAAACTCAATAGTAAAAACTGCATCTATCGTCTTTTCAAATTACAAGGTGGTTTTTAAAAATGTGTATTTTTGTAAAGTGCCAAAAATTCTACAAGATAGTTGGTATGTGCCGTTTTCGAGTCAATTCGATTTGAAAATCATCTTGCCATAAAACGCTTCACATACCGTGGTGGGAGTAGTTTCTTCTTTGGTGGTGTAGACTTCAGTTGTGGTTGTAGTGGCAGCAGTTGTAGTTGTAGTAGTCGGAGATGGTACTAACAGTTCTGGCGTGGTGTTTGTAGTAACGGTAGTGGTTGTGGCAGGGGTACTAGTTTCCGTTGGGTGGGTCAATTCAGGAACGATGGTTGTAGGTCTTTCAGTTTCTGTAGTGATCTCATCCTAAACAAAATACAGGATCTCTCTGTTCATAAAATTTGACATATCGTTCAGAAATCAATCTGCTTCCGTTTCCATTATTATCATTATTGCATCTCCAGTTATCATACAAAAAATTTACAAAAACTGTTGAAAGTGACCACTTGCAACAATGAAATCAGGTGTTATTCAAATGTCATTTTTAATATATTTGAATGAATTTGAGAAAACTTTAACACCCTGTATCTTGGAAACAATGCATTTCCGGACCTATATTTATGGAAACTTTTTTTCATAAAATGATGTGAGGAATCACTCCCTTGAATATTGCTGCGCCTTTTTTGTACACCCTGTATATCAGCTATTAGTCGTGTGATCTTTACCCAATTTTATCAGGTTTTCAAAGATATATATCCTTCTGGACAGTGTCGTGCTTTTTTATTCAATTGAAATGAAATTATATTAGGATTTTTGTCACAGGAAAACTGACCTCATGATTTTGTTCTTCATGGTTTCGAACCTCTTTAAGTAACTTTTTACATAATTTCTATAAAGTGTTTCAAGAAATAGGCACTCAAAAAGGGTGAGTTCAACAAAGAATAGTGTATCTTATTTTTCATTTCAAATCATGATTTTCTACCTACCGAAGCTATTTAACGATCCAAATTTGCAGTTAATTTGAATTTACTATTTTCTCCAAGCTGAAAATGAAAGAAATTGAAGCCAATCCTGTTAATTTGGAATATGATTTTTTTTTTCATAAGGAGGTTCGAGAGCAGAAGGAACAATAATATGAAGTTAGTTTTCTTGCAGAAAATTCCTAATGTGATTTCATAAAAATCGACTCCATTTTATTTCAATAAAGAGCAAGACACTGTCCAACAGGATGTTCATCTCTGGAAAATTTATTTTGATGATTATTCATACCCGTTTAAATTTGGTACGAATCGCAAGACTATTAGCTGAAATATAGAGAGGGTGTTAAAATGAAACACGCTGTGTTGTGAAATCACAAATCTTTTCAACGATAATCAATTCTCACCAACAAATTCAGTCCTTTTGAAGAAACAAAACACGCCAGATTTAGCGATATATCACATAACAAAAAACAATGAAGTTCTGTCTTCACATTTTTGACTGTTTAGATGGAAAAAAAAGATCTCAAGTAGGTACTCCAATCGTTGGATAAAAGAAAATTATGTTGGCGACAAACAGTTATTTTTTGAAAAATATACTTTCTAGAAATCTAGAAAGATGATTTAGGCGGGTTACCGTAACACAAGCTATTTTTAATGCAGCTGCCCCCCCGACACACTGTGCTATTCGAGAAACTGGCAGTCTCCCTTCCAGGTGCTAAATTCTTTTAACCTTCTTATATTTTCACTACTGAGATCAATTGAGTTAGAAGGAGGTGAGACGGATCTGAGTTGTCGATTGAATAAAAATAAGACGTTTTTATCTGTCAGGAATGGCAAGGGAAGAAAACATAATTCAACCAAAATATAAAATGGCTGGGGGGAAGAAATAGTCTCAATAGGTTCTTAAGACAGCTCACATCAGACTAAGATAAATGAAACATTGAGCTGCACTGAGAATCTCGGTTAATCTCAGTCAAAGTTGGTAAAAAGAATTCTACTATTGAGTTCATTGGTAAGAACAAGAACAAATGCAATTATTCAAAATCGTGCTTACTTCTGCTGTGACCTCGACGGCGATCGAAGCCTCAGTACCGCTCACTCCAGTCCCAGTAGTAGTAGTAGTAGTAGGCCTGCCAGTCGAAGCAGTCGTAGTGGCAGCCATCGTCGTAGTCGTCGGCGCGGCGGTAGTCGTAGTCGTAGTGCTAGTCGTAGTCGGCCTACTCGCTACGTACGTAGCTTTGGACGTCTCCGAAGTAATCTCTTCTGTTGTCATGCTCTCGGTGTCCTCGAAAGCGGGCACGAAGGTCTGCTCTTTATTTTTGCCGGTGACTTCCGGCACTACGGTCTCGCTTTCTACAGGGCCTTCGCCGTAGTCGTCCTCATCGTCGTAGTCGTAGTCGTAGGGGTCTTCGTAGCTGAGCACGTCGCCCGGTTTCACGGGGGTTTTTGGGGGAGTTGGGGGTGGTTTGGGGGTTGTGGTGGTGGTGGGGGGAAGTTTGGGGGGTTGTTGTGGGGTGGTCGGTGGAGGGAAGGTGATGGGGATGTGTGGGTCTTTGTGGGTGGTTGGGTGGTGGACCTGAAACAAGGATACGTTTAGTTGAAGTGTCTTGAGATACACTTTCGTTGTAGATGTAGCAAATCACTAAGTTATACAGGGTGTATCAAAGTTCAGTATCAACATTTCAGGGGGTTATTTTTCAGATCAAAATAAGACTTTTTTTACCTACATAAACATGTGTCCGCAAACGATCTGTTGCAGATATACAGAGCGTTGAAATTTCAAGTTTTTTTTTTATTCTCATCTAGCTGACCATGCAAACGTTGTTTTGCTATATACATTATTTTTAGTTCATAATATCTACTCTACAATTTGTCCAGTTTTCTATGCTATTGCGTGATATCTCAGTTATCTTTGGAGACAGAACCTTGCAGTTTTTGCGGTCCTGTGCCACTTTTTTGTGAAACTCAAGATGACCTAATCAGATTTTGCATAACTGTTTCCGTTTATGAGATACAGGGTGATTTTGAAAATTTAAACCTTTTGAACCACTTCTATATCTACAAAGTTTCTCAGTGAGAATGTCAGATTGGAATCTTATTCCATAAAGTTTTTTTACGCAGAATCCAGTGGCGCACTCAAATTTTTTTTTCGGGTTATGGTTTTGCAGATACAACTCAAAATTATGATTTTTTGAATGGAACACCCCGAACTTCATAAGCTCATTGAATTCCTTTTTTTTTACTTCAACATGAAAAATAATATATAAATATTTCAGAAATGCTCAAAAATCACTAAAACATTGAATTATAATAGTGGGCAATGAATTTTTCATAAAAAGAGTTCCAATTCAAGGAATATTTCTTCGGATTTTTGTATGAAGAGGACATATCAACACCAATTAACTAACAAAACACGAAAGTTAGGTACCTGAAAGCAACAAATAAATAGTAATAAAAAGTTCATAATGTAGAATAAGCAACTGAATAAATATTTACCAAAACAATTGAATTTCGAAATTATTCAGTAATTTAGTCATTGAATTGTTCAAATTGATGTCCATGTAGAATTAAATAAAATAAATAAAAATAAGATTTTGATTTTATATTTTCGCTGAGAAAGATATCGTAGATATAGGAAGTATAAATTATCAAAATCGTCATGTATCTCATATACGGAAACAGTTATGCAAAATCTGATTGGGCCATCTAGAGTTTCACAAAAAAGTGGCACAGGACCGCGAAAACCGCAAGGTTCTATCTCCAAAGGTAACTGAGATATCACACAAAAGCATCGAAAACTGGACACACTGTAGATACATTAAATGTAAATCATCTTGATTCATCGATTGAAAGACGTTTGGACGGATTTCATCCCCATTGTAAGTATCTCGAAAACGATCACCTTCATCGTTGTTGAGGGTATCCTTCTTAATTAGAAAAGGTGTGAAAATAAGGGTTTTTTAATGAAAAGTGGCGAAAGTTTACTGTCATAAAAAACTTGTCCGATTTGGCAAATGTTCATACTGACTTATAAAGAGCCTTTGAAAAATACATACTTTCACCCGAGCTTTCACCGTGCTCAGATTGAAATCTAGATGGAAATTTCTACTACAGCATTGTTACTGATGAATTTTGGTGATATTTTATTTTAGTTTCCGGTGTTTTATTGCAGGGCAGTGTAGAATGTTATGATAGTAAAAAAAACTTACTGGCAGGCTCAGATTGTTCTCTCCATGATGATGCCTGTGAGGATGAGTAGGAGTTTCGGTCGTAGTAGTGGTACTCGTGGTAGTGGTGGTAGTGGTACTAGTAGTTGATGTTGTAGTTGTGGTCTTTTTTGGGGGCAACGTCACCGGTATTTCCGGAGAAGGGGGAACTTTTTCTACGGCTCCTAGATCATCGTCGTCGTAATTTTCGTAGTCGTCGTAGTATTCATCTTCTTCATCGTAGTCTCCGCTTCCTGAAGAAAAAAAGAGCAGTGTCGACTGATTCAGCTTTCAGTATCGAGTCTGAATTAGAGTCTATGTATTTTTTTGGATTTCAAGAGCAATCGGAAAAATAGCTATTTGTGTAACAAGGGAGGAGAGTGCAACTTTTCATATGATATTTCCGCCTCCCTCAAATAAGAAGTCATTTAAAAAAAAATGTATGAAACCAACAAACAAAATTTAACAAAGAATTGCCTTTTGCATTGCGTGAACTAATGTTTTGAAAATATGAAAGGAGAGTTCTCTACTGAATCTGACATCGAATTATTTCTTTATGGGTCTGGAAAAGTGTCTATGAATTTTTTGGGATTCTTAGGGCAATCGGGAACAAATATTTTTCCCTGTATGAAGCCAACTACATTGCCTGAACTGCTGATTTCGAACATCTGAAGGAACAGCTTTCTATATACCAAATCTGACATCGAATTTTTTGTTTATGTTTCTGAATCGCCTATGAATTTTTTGGGATTTTTAGGTCGATCAGGAAGAAAATATTTCTTGACCTGTATGAGCATCCTGCATTGGCTGAACTGCTAATTTTGTAAATCCGAAGGAAGAGTTCTCTGAGTTTCGTTAAATTTCGATATTGGAATGTGCCAGTATCACCAATAATTGTCGATACTGCATCATGATATGTCAAATATCAAGTGTCTCGTCGACCGTCAGAGCGGAATCCGCGGTACTCACCATCCCCATCCTCGTCAGCCGGCACCCATACCTCTCTCTTCTCCCTGCTCGTCTTCACATCTCTCTTCTCCCTATTCGTCCCCACTACCTCTCTCGTCTCCGTCTTGACCCGCCAGCCAATCAGCGGCAACCCCGCCACCTCGGATATCGTGCCGTCCCTCGCTTGCCTCTTGAGTTGACGCACCGTCGGAGCGGTAGCCACTCGCAATCGCCCGTCGCAGCCTACTGCGACCTTGAGCGTGGTGGTGGCCTTGGAGATCCGGGACGCTAAGTTGCCGGGGCCCGCTAAGATCACCGAGCTGTCGTTGATGTCGTCCTCGGCTAGCTGGGGTTCCAAAGTGAAGGCACTCTGGAAGAAAGAGAAAGGGTATGTGAGTACAGTGGTATCAGGTTATTCTGGAACTCACACCTCTACACATCGTGGTGAGGAGAACTGCCTATGGAGTGCATCTCAGGTTGGCCAAGGTCGGACTAAGAGGGAAAACGCACAGTGCAAGGGACTCACCCCCTACTGAGATTGCACACCTCGCCGATCTTCCAACAGACCAAATCATTAGGAAGTTCAGTTTTGAGGAGAACTTCCGAGTGGAACTGAGCAACAAGCGCGAATGGAGCATAGAATCCATCGGAGCGCTGGGAAGGAACACCATTACTTGGTATACGGACGGGTCTAAAACACTCTAGGGAACTGGAGCAGAAGTCTTTGGGCCTCGCACCAAATACTTCGAATCCACGGGACAATTTTCAATCATCTTTCAAGCGGAAATAGACGCCATAGAAAGATGCATCCAGTTCAACCTAGACAGGAAATACCGGAAGAAGGATACCGCGATTGTATCCGATAGCCAACCAGCCATCAAAGCGTTGAGCTCTTCTAACATCAACTCGAAGATGGTATGGGAATGCCTAAGCAAATTGAATGAGCTAGACAGTAACAATTAAGTGATCCTCCTCTGGCTGCCAAGTCATATTGGAGTGGAGGGAAATGAACAAGCAGACACTCTGGCACGACAAGGGGCCTCAACGCCACTGATCGGACCAGAGCCATTCTGCGGCCTTGGAAATTCCTATTTCCAAGAAGAACTTGAAAAGGCGGAAGGAGCATTGAGAGCCAGGCAATGGAGAAGGCTTCCAGGACTGCGGAAGGCTAAAGATCTCGGAAATTTCAACCAAGAAAGATCTAAGACACTGATAAACCTCAGCAAAGGAAGTCTCAAAGCAATAACGGGATTTTTAACGGGACATTGCAGACTCAAAGAACACCTAAGGAAGCTAGGCTTACAGGAGGACGGCACCTGCAGATTCAGTGAAAAAGAACCAGGAACACCCCATCAGTTACTGATGGAGTGTGACGCTGAAGGAATTGAATCTTGAGGGGCTGCTATGAACAAGAAATCCTTGATATAGCAGAAGTAGATGGGGCACAATAGATCTAATTAGGTCGCAGCGCATCTATCACCATCCAACCTACTAATACCACCTGCAGAGTGTTTTTTTTTAGAATATCGGCCTCTATCAGTACAGGACCCAAAGACCTGCCTCGCCTGTTTGTGCCTGACTCACCGAAAGGAATCATAGAAAGAAGAGGAAGAAAAACAGTAAAAACGTTTCAAAGTGTTTCGTACCATAGCCCGTACAACGAATACAACGGTACCGATCCAATGTGTCCCCTACCCCGAAAAAAACATGGTAGTTTCTACTCCCTGGACCGAACGAGTCTGAACTTAACAAAATTAATGGTGTCTACTGAATATGATAGGTGCCTTGTCACTGAGACAGACCAATCAATCAAAAAAAAAATGGTAGTGTCTTCAACCAAGACCAACCGAGAGTGTCTTTTACCACAAAATTACTGGTTCTTTACTACCAAGACCGATTCAAAAGTTCTTGACCCCAAAACAATAGTTGTGGCTACAACAAGCACCAAAATTGTTTCTTCACAACCAAGACTGACCCCGAAGAACTGGTTGTTCACTATCACACACACAAAATGCCTCGAGAACAAGGTAGTGTCTAGTTGCAGAACCGACCAAGAGTATCTCAAGACCGCCAAGGAGTATCTCACACCCAGCTTTTCACAGTTGCTGGCAGTGTCTACCGCCACAACCGACCGTCTTCCCAAAAATACTCACGTAGGGCAGTCCGAAAAACTTGGCGACGTTGTGGATAGCCATCACCCGCTGCTTGGGCTTGATCGCTTCCGCTTGTTTGTCGAACAGCAGCGTCAGAACGGTGACGTCCTCGTTTTCGGGGCACTTTTCGGCGGTGTCTGGCAGCTCTTCAGCCACCGTTATCTTGACGTCGTACGGTTCGCCGGTGGCGCCCGCTGGCTTGATTGACAGGCGCAAATTGCCGGAGTCTCGGAGAAGGGGGGCACCCCAGAAAATGCCGTCCGTCCGGTCGAAGAGTAGCCACGGCGGGAGGGCGGTTCCAGGTGGTTGGCGCTTCGCCTAGAAAAAGTGGAGGGGCGGGTTCACGAGTCCGTTTTTTCAATATTCGGGGGGTTTTTGTTGCTTCCATGAGGGTCGCCAGAAAAAATTTCCTAGGGGGGGGCTGCAGTACTTCCAGGACAATGATCAGGGGTAATTGTAAACATTACCTTTATGTATAAGTAGTCAAATAAACGTTATCTATCTATCTAATACCATGAGTGCTCCCAATACTATCGATAGTAATTCTGTCAGAAATCAACGAGATTCAATTGCTTGGTAACCTCAAAGCAATTTGATCGATTTTTTGACAGAATTTTTTATAGTATTGTGAGCACCAGTTGTATTTATTTAGACAATTCCACGACCTAATAAAACTGTTATCTCCATGTCACACCAGCTGACAAGATGTTCTATTCAGATCCGTGGTTTTCTTGACGACGTGGTCGGAACACCAGTCTGGTTCTTATATTGCAGGAGATGGCAGTTTTGTATACGTCGTGGAATTGTCTGTGCCATTCAGAAACAAAAAAAAATGTATTGCAGGTGAAATTCGTTTTTATGATAAAGGTCAGATGCATTTGCTTAGAAAGTTAGTTTTCTTCACTAGTATGAATTCCAAATAGTCCCATTCTTCAGAATTCATACTTGATGTTATTTTTTTTATGCGCTGGTTCCCATGAAAAGGGATATCCTGTAATGTTCAGGGAACATCGTGAGAACCAAGGGAAATAAGGTAGGAATTGGTGGTCTTCTTGAATTTCTGGAGGTTATATGCCTCGGGGAACACCTCCCTTTGGAAAGAGATGTTCTGCAGGTCTCCAAAGTGACCACGAAGGGGTGCGAAGCCTCAACTCGACGGGTTAATCTCGTGGGGACAGCCAAGGGAGGAACAATTGTTGATATTTCAGAAGAGCATCGTCCTTGAAAATGTCTATAAAATAGAGCCAGATGGACAACTTTTCTACGGTGTTCCAGAGAAGTGAGTGAGTTTGTGAGCGAGGCATCACCCACGAGACGAATTGCCCTTTTTGGACAGAATCCAACAGTTTCAGGGTATGATTGGGTGCTACACTCCAAATATGGGAACTGTATTCCAGGACAGGTTGGATCTGTGCCTTATAGATCATAAACAGCTGACTGGAAGTGAAATAGCTCCTGTCTCGAAACAGAAAACCAAGTTTTTGGGATGCACTTTTAGCAATTGATCTCACGTGATTTTCCCAAGAAAGGTTATTGCTGATAGTAATACCAAGCATCGAAATGGATGTCTTCAAAGGTATGGAAATGACTTGGGGCTGTTTTCTCTTACCCCTCATATTTTCCAACTCAGCAGGAAATAAATGTAATTATTTCTCACGCGTAGGGAGAGTCTTCTTTTTGATTCCAACAGCAAAAGCTCTGGCTGGAAAAGAAATATTCTTTTCCAGCTGCATTAAAATCGGTATAGGGTATAGGTACGTAAGATATATATCGTGTCTTGTTCCTGGCCATTTATTTCGCATTTTGTTTCCGGCCCTATAGCTCGTTTACGTGCCTGGAATGACTCGTAGGTGTGCTAGCCTGGCTCTGGTATATCGATATAAATGGTGGGCCATAAAAATGCTGGTTTATCATAATGTAGTCCTCCATTCTAGAGCTGACCTAGTTCATTTGCCAAAGTAGCGAAATGATAGATAAAAACCGTATATAAAGATAATGCGATAGTTGATATGAAATGATTATTTTGAAGATATCCTGTATATCGGACAATACTCGGGACAATACAGGGGGTTTCAGAATTCAGTATCAAGGTTTCAATGATTTTTTGGTCACATTAGAAGCTTTTCGTCAATAAGCATGTGTCCGTAAACCCTTCTTCATCGATCTACAGAGCGTTAAATTACAGGGAGTTTTTCAATTGATCTTGAATTCACCATTATCACACTCAGATTTCAAAAGTTCTATCTAAAGTGCTCAAAGGAACAAGTGGACCACTCAAATTTTCGACGTTTTCAAAAGGCGATAACTTTTTGCAAATCAAATGATTTTCAATCGACTGAATGTTGTAGGATAATGACAGTTGTTGTCACGATCTTGGCAGGTCTTCCATAATGGCATGTTATATTGGGTGTTGAGATGATTGAAATGCAATCACTTGCATATAGAATCGTCTTTTCACGGGCATTTTTTCCATCAGGTGATGAAGGAAATGTACACTATAGAGGTTTATTAATTTCATACCAACAAACGAATGTTTGGAAATTACTGTTTCTTCAAGGGGCCCTTGGGGGAATACCTAATCCAGACCATCAGAAAAGTGTCTTCTCTTCTCTATCAATATCCTTCGATTCGTCTGATTTTTTCATGGAATATTTCTCTACTAAACTATAATCGACTGACAAGTTCAGAATCGGGAAAATCCAGGACCGTTTTTGAAAAATTTTGATAGTTCAGTTTTTATCAAAAAGTTCATCCTGTATATGGTTATATACATATATATATATTTATATTATATATTATATATAAATATAAGCGTAAACGAAAGTTTGTCAACGAAATTTATTCGAAAATAATTACTTCGCAACGCATAAATTTCACAAGGGTAAGATTCACATTTTCAATGCTTTAGCTCAATGGAAATCAACATGTTCTTTCATTTCCAGGCCTGAATTTCGACATTTCATTTTTTGTGGATGGTAAGGAAGGTCGGAAATTCCAAAACCAATTCGAGATATTGATTTGCAGATTTGAGAAAGACGATTTGCAGACGAAAAAAATCCTGGGGAAGCTCCTAAACTTTTTCAATTATGTGACACTATTTGCGACCACTTGGTATGTCTTAACTGGATAACATTGATAAGTTTCGATCGATGAATCCTAAACAGAAAAAACGCATCTTTTTGCAGAAAGTTATCGTATTTTGAAAAACGTCGAAAATTCGAGTGATAGTCCACTTGTTGTATTCTAGCAATATTATTATCTCAGTTCAGTTCAGAAGAATGCAAGCGGATTCTTTGATTTCTCTTATTGGTTGTCATCTTCTCTTCCTATGATTTCATAATATGTTTGCAGACATTAATATTCCAAATCTGAGAGGTGAAGAGATCATCGATTCATGTTCTTCAAATTTAGTGTGATATTTTTTAGCGTTTTTGTTTCTTAGGATAATTGACACTTTGTGCTGACCCTGTATATCTGATGGCGCCCTTAGGATTGTATACAGAAATCTTCTAGCCATTCATTCTGCAGTTATCAACTATAATTATCCTCGCAATGTAGATAACCTTTGATATAAATGCTTCTAAATACGAAAAACAACAATAATATCATTATTGTGCTCTATCGTAGGTGATAATTCGGTACTAAAACAGAAAATTCTGCCTCTTGTTGTTTTTCATCAGTCCAACCTTAAGAAACTATGAATTGCATGAACATATTGCATACGTATTTTTCGTTTTACGTGATGGGCCCAATCCGAGTAAATTTGTGCCGACCACTGCACTATGATGGCACAGTGGTTATAAATGGAGATCATTTTTCAAGATAACGACTGCAATAACAATTTTCCATAGAGAATTTTCGACAGTCAGCACACAAAATGGAATAAAATATAAAATGTCGAGGTTCAAGAGGAAAATAAAGGTGAATAATGTATTTTGCAGACAACAAAAGTATCTCACATACAGATGGTTATGCATTTCGATACTTATTTTTGCCTATTTGTGATATTTAGTCAAGACTAGTCAAGTTGAGAGTATTTCCAAATATTCAATATCATTTAGTTGTTGAGCTTGTGCTAAGTTGTCAAAAATCAATAGTGACTCATTTCCTTCAAATTTCTATGAGATATGAGATATCCAAAACAACAAATCGAGGAGGTGGTACATTCATTATTCCAAATTTTTTGGGATTTTGTTCTTTTAGGGTCTCTGATAGATACATTCTTTAAACGCAGTGACATTTTGGGGAAAATCATCTGATTTGTCCTTACTACACGTATATCGAAATAATATTCATATTTTTATTTTATATAAACGAGGAGAGAAAATCCCAAAAAATTATAATAAGCCGTTTTTGTTGAAAAATCCCGATTTTCAACACTATATTTCTCTGTAATCATTGCCGCTAGACCCCAAGTGTGATGTATTGATGAAATCAGCTCTTCAGGGAGAACCTAAAACTGCAACAATATACAGGGTGTCCCATTGAAAAAAAAACATCATCAGCCATTATCTTGGAACTCGAACACCCTACAGATACGAAAATCATATTAGGAGATAGTTCTCATGAATCCTTATAACTGTTGTTTTTGAATTTTTCTTATATACCTGACGGTTTGGCCAATATCGAAGGAGAACCCACTATTGACTGACTCTGTATACTCACCTCGAACCCCCTCTCGCCCACCCCCACCCCCGCCCTGGGCACGGCTAGCCGGAACGCCCTTCCTACATACGCCGTCGCTTCTCGGCCCCTATCGCCCCCATCGAACACGCCGTCACCCTCGAACTCCACCTCGAGGTCGTCGTCGGCGTCGAAGTCGAAGTCGTCGGGGCTTCGGTGCGCAGACGCAGAAGGGGGCGCCAGCAGTACCAGTACCACCGGCAGCGCGAGTACTGCCGCGTGGCACGCGCGCATAGCTAACGGGGTAGGTCACGCTGTCATGGTTCTGGAACGGAAAGAAAAATGACTATTATGATTAAATTAACCCAGATATGCCTACCGTCCTTTTATAAGGACGCTGCGTGAAAAGTTTTCTATGCGGATTTTCTCATGTATGGCACTTCTCTTATCAAATGAAAGAACATTCGTTATAGAATATTATCAACACAGCTGGTATCGGTGATACGTGAATACAAATGGAAATCAAGTATTCTGTTCAAGTGGGCTAAGCAGATTGATGTCAATTCGGTTTGGTTACCAATTATGACTGAAATATTTCGATTATTGATTTTGTGTTGACATGATGTCAATGCATTGTGTTTTGAAACTGCATCTCACAACCTCAAAATTTCAAATGTTCTTTGAGAAGGACAGTAGGCATATAAGCAACTTTTTTGTCAGTGGTTTCACTTTCTATATACAATCTTTAGATGACAAAACTAATAATGAACTATTTGAAATATCTTTGGCAATTATGTCTCCTCTCAATTATTGTGAAAACCACTTACGCAGATTAGGTCTTGAGCGGTGGAGATAAGTGGACATTAGTACGGTTTAAAAACCTCATATTTTTTATAAAACCGAAGCATGGAGGACGTTTATTGAAGCGACGGAAATGTAAGTTAGTATCGAGTTGCGCTGTAGGAGGTAAGAAATGGTACGTGACTCTTATGTTTCACATGCTAGATATGTGTGAAGACGCGTTGCAATTGCATAGGATGCAAGGCAGTTCTCTTGATCATTTATCTTTTCGCAAAAGCGAATAAGTCATTCCAATTCTGGAAGACAACCAAAGAAAATTTTTCAAACGTTTGAAACCCTCTCCATCAGAAAACGAAGATTGCCGATACGATCATTGGTAACGCAGGAGAAGAAGACTATAGATACGAATATTCCCATAAAAACGTTTTCACCAAATAAGAAAAGTGCAAAGTTGCTTGTTTCATGTCCTCTTTATACTATATTTAGGATATTGAAATTTATATAATGGAAACTTTTATTCAAGGAAATGTCACTCATTTGTCTACTGTACTTTTAAAAGGACACCGTCTTCAACTCCAGCTTTCAGAATTTTTTCAAAATTCTTCTATTACTCATTTTTAAATACCTACTGAATTAGTTTTACACAACAAAAATCGAAATTTGAATCAAAATATATCCAGAAATATCTGGGTAAAATCAAGATAAAACTGAGTATTGAGATTGATAGAACTGATAATAAAGAAAAGGACTTGGTCATTCGAAGCAAATACTTTTGGTATGCAGATGAGATGAGTCTGACATTCATGATGGAATAAGCACTGGGATGTATATAGGAGCTATGTAGTCGGAACAGTGACACTTTTGATCCGAATGACACATGCTCTTTTTCTGTGACGGGAAAAAAGTTTGGCATATCATCTCTGTTGGCAGGATATAAAATGTCACTTTTCATAAATTACTCTTCTCCCGTGGGAAAAAAAGTGAGTACTATTTTCCCGGATATATATCACATATATATACACTGTTGATGGCTTTTGTTGTGGTATAGGTAGTTCCGAAAATTGTGTCAATAATACCGTCTCCGAGAAAGAACTGTCCCTTTATCTTCCGTTCGACTTCGCGGTTACGTATATTACTAAACAACCACTAAATTCCCAATATTTTGAAATCAAATCACAGAATCAGACTGACAGAAGTAACATCAGATATTTGATTACTTCAAAAGAATGATAAATATGCCTACAACGCAGATGTCCTTACTGTTAAAAACTTAAAATTTCACGTCGATAATTTTCAGAATTCAAAATAATGTAATATCTTCTCAATATTGATTCATCCTTCCTTCTGTCACAGAAAAAAATAGTGTATTATACACGGGAAAAATATTAGATTTTAGCTCACGGTTTTTTCTCTCCCTCCACTACGCGTCGGGAGACAACACAACCTGGAGCTAAAATCTGCTACTTTTTTCCCTTGTATAATAAGTAACTATTTTTTTGCAACCGAAAGAAGAAATAGAAACGTCAATTCAAGGGCTAATTTTGGTATTAAAATGGACGACTTTTGTGGCGGTTGCAGAAAAACAAACGTAGAGATAGTATATGAGTAGATAACTTCTTTGAACTATTTTAGCAGATATGAATGCAGATAACAAATATTCCTAATTATGAGTGTCTTAATCTCACCCTGTATCACTTTGAAAAATATCGAAAACCATTCAACACTTGAGATTGAGTCTCTTTGAAAAATAATTTTCTCGATCACAAACACCTCCTAAATTTGCTGATGCACTTTGGGTACTATCGAATTTGCGTGAACGAATAAAGGGAAATACAGTACGTGCTGTAGACGATTCACTGGAGATAAGAGGGCGATGTATGATGATTGATGATGATACGTCGGTGTTATTCTTTCGATGCGATATTTATATTCTGTCAATAAACCACATAATATAAACGCCAGACCGATAATTAGGTATTGCAGGTCGTGGCTGAAAACACGACCATACGGACAGCAACTTGTTGCATATACGGCATCTTACGAGTTGGTTACGAAATGTTTTCCTCGGCTTCCCAAAAGAAGTGGTCTAGTCCAAATAATTCAATTATGAGAACGATAATTGTTGTTTGCTATTTGGGCCTCATTTAATGTACATTCGAGGTTTCTTAAAACTTATATTCTTATGGTAAAAGAAGAAATTCATTTCGCTTACTTTATACGCAGAAATTGACAATTTCGAAGACTGAGAAATACGAAATACTTATAATATGCATATACAGGGTGTTTCATAATTGAAAGGGCGATAATCCTTGGATGATTTTAAGAAAAATTCTTTATGTGAACATAGGTCCGTAACAGCTTCGTTTCTGAGATACAGGATGTTGAAATTTAACGAAAAAATCAGTTATTCCTCAATATCACTGAAACCGCTCTGGCTATTTTCTTCATTACAAATACTTAAAAATAGTTACCATGAAATTATAAAATGCTCAGATCTTTTGGTTACCACAATTATTGTGAAATTATGACTAAGAGTAAAAATCGAATAGGGACAAGCAAATGAATGCATTCTATTTTCTAACTCAAAAACCGTTCGCCGGACGAAAAAAAGACAAGAAACCATTTTTATAAGAAGATAGAGGCTAATTACAAAAATAATATTTAATTGGAAAAAAGACAGTGGCGTATCATTATTTTGATGAAAAATATGACAGGGTATGTTAACAGGGACGCCACTGATGGAAATTAAGAAATCCTTCATTATGGAAAAAATGTATTTCTATTCATACTCGGCATGTACCAAAATTGAAGAAAAAAGCCAGAGCGGTTCCAGAGATATTGGGGAATAACTGATTTTTTTGTTAAATTTCAACATCCTGTATCTCAGAAACGAAGCTGTTACGGACCTATGTTCACATGAAGAATTTTTCTTAAAATCATTCAAGGATTATCGCCCTTTAGGATCAGCATCCAATTATGAAACACCCTGTATACTGTTGGATATTTGAATTGAATAATTCAAATTTCTATAGACGCATTTTCATCCAAGACTAAGACTACGAAGACCAAGATCAAGACTGAGCCAGTCTCGTCTTGCGTATTGAAACATCAAGACCAAGACTACATTTATTTTTCGCGAAGCTCTAATATGAAGAAATAGTTATTTGTTTAACTAGGCAGCAAAGTAGTAGATTGACTGCCGAGGCTGAATTCATAGCCGAGCGTAGCGAGGCTAGGAATCCAGCTAAGGCAGTCAATCTGCTTTGCTGCCGAGTTGAACATATAATTTTTTCTCCGATTGTTCATTATGATATAGGAGGATATTGTAATTGAAAATTATAACAATTCTCACAATCTCTTTATTTTTCCTGTAGTGTTCAATTAAAATTAAATTTGATAGAAATCGCAGTTGTCCATGATAATTTTAGTTTGACAATTCATGAAAATTCTGACAGTTGTGTGAAAAAATATCGGTATATTTGAATTATTATATAATGGACAGTGATAGCGACCTGGAAGTACTTACACCTCCAGAAATAAGGGAGGTGGCAAAAAATATAGAGTTGAATTTGTTGCCGGAGAAGTCTTGAATGAAATATGAAGGAAATTATAAACGATTTATGGATTATTAATTTTGCTGATACATATCAATCAGCAAAGTAACCACTTTGCTGCCTAGGCAGGAAAAGTAATACTTTGCTGATTGATATGTGTCAGAAAAATTGATATTTGCTGCCAATCGGAGAAAAAAGTCTTATTTTGATCACAACAATACGTCCTTGAAATATTAACATCGAATTTTGAATCACCCTGTATAGATCTATTAACTCATGAAGATATACCCTGTACTTCAATGAAGATGAGATGAATGTAAATGACGAACATTGAGTACAGTCTACTCAAAGTCAATTGTAGCAGCTACCGCATCGCGCGGTGTAGACGGGTTTGACGTTTCTTTAGAAGTGTGTGCACGTGCGGTTCGTGGCGCACCAAATGACTTTGGATAAACTACTAATACCTACTGATATCATTCGAATATGTTGTTTTGACATAAAGTATGTTTAGGCGGTTTCGTAGACACTACCAATAATGAAGAGATATTTATGAAGAGCAAAACCCCAAGCCACTAAGCCAGTGAAATAGCGAGTTGTTTTAAATAGACTGTTCAATCATTATTGCCAGAAATAGCTTAGACCTATTTTTATTCCACAGCACCGGGTTTCCTGTAATGACTGATCGGGTTCAATGAAAATAATGTTGTGTATTTAACACCATCAACATCACTATGAATCAAAGCTTGAGGTTTTCTCTTTGGCATTTCGAAATATCAACAGCGATAATGAACATAAACGTATGAGTGATCAGTCTTCGTTTTACAAACAGAACTTTTCTCGAACTTCGTGATCCAATCTAAATTATTCATGAATCATGAAGTGGTACAAAGTACATTTTGATGTCATTTACATGACTTTTCCAGAAGGGTGCCAAACGGA